AACCCGCAGCTGCTGCAGCCCTGCGGGCGCTGTGCCGGCCGTGGCCATCGCGGCTCCGCGTCTGGCGCCAGACCGTCAGCGGTGTCCTGGGGGCTGCGCTTAAAATGCTTACAACATCCAGCGAGGCCGTTGTACGGTTTCAGATTCTTACTTCTAGGGAAGTTGTGCGCTGCGTGCCATCAGGTTTTAGAGTTCAGAGTTAATTCGCTGTCGTAGCTTTTATCTACGTGTGCGTTAAGGCTCCCTGTCCGGTGCCTGTTGGCAGAAGCTGTTCTGCAGTTCCCTTTGCCATACGGCGGCCCTGTAGCTCTGCTCGTCCTCAGGTGTGGGAGACTTGCTCGAAACACAGTAAACTGGAGTGTCTGAACAGCATTGTTTTGAAACCTTCTCTGCTGTGAACTGCTCTGTACCTTCGACATGTCTGGATTTGCTGTCTCCGCATATGTGTATCCAGCAGCTTAACTCGGCCGAGTTCACTGTGTAGACAAAGTCCGTCATTGGAACTAAGACAAGTTAGGTGATTCACCGGGAAGATCTATTTTCTCACAAAAAGAAGCAAATGTAAGAAACACCAGTGCTGCAAAACAACGTTCCTGTGTCCTGCATGTGCTCTTGTGGCATTAATCAGAATGTCAAGACTTAAAAACCACTGGCTGATGTTTGGTGGGTTATTTTCAAGGCTGCTCTGCAGAGCTGTATAACAATTTTGGAAGTACTTTAAATATTTCCTTTCAGTCTGAGCCCTCTTATTTATATGTAAGCTACGTGCTTTATACAGTCTCATTTTTCTGATTAAAAGCTTACTCTCAGATTGGACTGGAAATAAGCTCTGCAGGCGTGTTAAATGTGGCTGGCACAGAAGGTGTGTAAGTACGTGTACATTCAGGAGGGATTACGTTTTAGGAACACAGATACTGGCCATTTACCTCTGTCCATGGTTTCCCTCAGTGCAAGAAAGAGGCCTGTCCTGTGACCAGTAAGATACTGAAAGCTTTGAACTGCTTTCTAAGAGCTTAATAGAGCTTAATTCTAATGCAGGAGTCCTTTGTAGTGGCTCTGAGGGCTTAATCTTCAAAGTGCACCTTGCGTAGCTTAGTTTCAGTGTACATCTTGGTTTAAATGGGTGATGTTGGAATTTGGGGTCTTAAACAATAGACAACTTACTGTGGTCAGAAAGAAATGTGGGTGCCCCATCCCTGGAAGTGCTCAAGGCCAGGCTGGATGAGGTCCCTTCCAACCCAAACCATCCGTGATTCTGTGAAATCTAGATGCTAACTACTTAGTAACACTAATGTGTAATATAAGCAAGGGGGCAAAAAACGCCTCCCTTGCATCCTCCAAAGTGTTGTACTTTTTAATTATGTCTAGGTTAGCGTAGGCCTCTGCTGTTTCCAAACTGAAGTCCAGCTTAGAGATTCCTCTGTCTGAACTTGTTCTGTCGTCTTAAATGTCTAGTGTTACCAGATGTGGCAGAAGATACAGTCTCTCCAACTAGAGCTCGGACCATGAAGGACTATGAAAACGTAAGCAGACTTTTAACTTAAGATTTGGTGACGGATGTATGGCCGAGATACTTGTAATGTGCGTGCCGAAGTGTTTTCTCCCTGGGTCAGGTTCTTCGTTTGTACCAGCCAACGCAGGTCTGTTGGAGGTGTGACCAGCTGGCTGGCTGTGCTTTGAATCTCCTTTTCTTAAGTATTGTTTTCAAAACAGAGGCAAAAATTTGTTGTTGAGACTAGCCAACTGCTGTTCTGAAGTTGTGAAGCAAAAATTGTCACCCTCTGCTCAAGAGTTCATGCAATCACCAGAAATGCAAGAACTTGGCTTGCAACTCTGCGGTTGATTTATTTCAGGGAGTCATCACTTGGTTATTTTCATGTAGACCAGCACCAGGATTTGGCTTTTTCATGCATTGACTGCTGTATAATACCTTTTACCTTTGTAATTACGTATGAGTGTGCTTGGAATACTTTTGCTGTAAAGGTCAAGCATCACTGTGACAATTCTGTAGATAACACCGATTTTGGGGCTTACTAGAATATGAAGGAAAACATTAGATTTAAAAAATAAACCAAACCCTTATTAACTGTATTAGTTATTTAAGTTGAAGGTGATTTTTTGCGATTGCTGAATGAGGCTTTAGGTGGGGTATAGCTGTATCGCAGGACAACGCTGTAAAAGGCCTTAAATCTTGTGATTGTGCGAAGGAGCCGCAGAGAGGAGGGCGATCAACAGTCTGAGATGGCTGCTGCAGATAAAGGCTGTGGCTTGCAGCCTGTAGGATGTTTTCAAGTGTCTGCAGTTTTCAGTGTGCCTCTGTAGCCCCTGTTCCCTTTTGTAGCATTGCTGTTTGAAATGAGCATTTCTTCTAAAGCCTTTCAGTTTCTTGTGGCCTTTTACCCCTCTGAGGAGAAGGCTGTGTGCTTTGCTCAGAATTTAGAGCTTGTTTTGGAAAGCCTTGATGAAGGATGTTTTTTACAGTCTGTATCTGTTTCACTTTCTCTTGTTTTTGTGTATTGGCTGGGGTAGAAAGACACTGCTTGGCATTAATACATGCCAAAATCTTTTACTGTGATAGGTGACATTCTGCAAGTTGTTTATTATCTGCAGTGTGTGTTTGCACAGGGGAAAAAGTTGTAGAAGGGAGGAAAAATCTGTTATTGTTTTCTGTGATGTGGAGGAGAAAGATCTGTGGGGAGACCCTGGCTTCCTGGTATGTACAGACCCCTTATGTTGAACTGGGCTGTAAATCTTCTCATGGGCTTTCGTGGAGGCCAAGGGTATAATGAAGCTCAAAAATCCATTCAAGCAAAGGAAGAAGAATCCATTAAGCACAGTCAAACACAGAGATATTTCTTTAAATTCTGGTTTTGAGTCTTTTAGCCTTCCAGCTACCAGCAATCTTAACTTGAGGAAGAGAACATTCACTTTCTTTGTCCTTTTACTTCATACCAACTATCCAGTAGTGGCTGTGTTTCAGATGTGCTTTTAGACTGACACCATAAGGCTGTTCTTGTCTCACTTTAAAACAAATCTGAATTAGCAGGTAAAATTCCTGATTCCTCCTGCGTGGAGAGGGATAAATCTGCTGATCTTTGAGTCTATGTTATTTATACAGGATATGAGAAGGAAGTAATGGAAAGAGAGGGCTTCTTGCCTTGCAGCTCAGAGAGGACAGGATGGATGTGATGATCCTTGAATGGGCTAAAGGGTGTATCCATGTGGAAAAGGTCCTTTTATGTTTAGACCTGGAGAAGATGCTGAGCTAGATAGTACTAGAGCTGTAGATTTTTCTTAGTATATATGGGGGTGAACCACCTCGTGATAGGAAATTCGATTACATGGGCAGTGAAAGGCATCTCAGATGAGGACATCGTTATGGTCTGTTAGTTACTGACGAATAGAGAGGGTGATCGGTATCAAGTTAGGGAACTAAGTAGGGATACTTGTGGTTTGCTTTTTTTTTTTCTTGTCTCCCCAAACCTACTTAAGAGTTTTGCTATCTTGTAAAATGGCCTCTGCTGGCAAAAACTGAAACCACAGCCTCTGCTGACAGATGCCGTTTTGCATGAAAGCGGCTCTGTGCAGGCTCTGAAAGGAGCTAAACTGAGCTAGGCCAGTGGTATTTGCTACCATGCTGACTGTGGAGTGTTCTGTGTAGAGTGTATTGCTTTGTCTTGGTTTTTCAAGAGGTGTCTGCCATTTCTTTCATTCCTTTTTTAAATACAGAACGCAAAACATATAAAGGAATTAAGACCGAGTCTTTAAATGTGTGAGTCAAGAGGATTGCCATTAAAATCCCTTTTAATGTGTGAACGTGTTAACGTTTACACATTGCCTTTTATTAAGCTATAACTTTTTAGTTGTCGTCTGCCTGAATTAGCTTTCCTCTGAGAAACTCAGTGTCAGAGACAACATTTGTTTCACTTCTTGGTTTATGGTTGCGTAGCCTGTTTTGTTTGCTTTTTGAAAATAGTACCCTCAAGCTCTGTGGTTTAATTCTGTAGCCACTGAAATAGATGAATTAAGGTATGCTGAGTTCTTATGAAATTGTTTTTCCCTTTTGGCTTAGGAATGTATTGAAGGTGAGAAGACTGACTAGCAGTTCAACCGGTACAAATTCAGAGCGTCTTTGGCATTTGGACTTTTTCTGAATGAACAGTCTGTTAGGCATGATCTACTGCCAGCTTAAAAAAAACCCCAAACCAGACCTTATGCTGTCACTAGTTGAAGGTAGTGCTAAGCTTGCCAGCAAGGCGTGCAGGATGCAGCACAGTTCTGCAGCATTGCTTCGCTTGAGAAATCTTTAATTTCTTTGCTTACCCTGAATAAGGATTTCAGCTTTGAGCAATATTGCTCAATGGGCTCTGACTCATAGTGCAAAGTTGCATTGTTTTCATGCTTATGTCTATTTGAATGTTCCCAAAGAGTCGTTCCAGTTAATCAAGATAGCCCGTGATGCTCGGCAGGTATCATGCTTTAAGGAGTGACAACTTGCCTAGCTCAGGTGTATGTCCACTATTGTTTGTGGTCATCCGTTGGAGTCGTAGGAAACGCAATAACGATCTGTGGTGCGAGTGCTTCTGAAGACAGGCTGCTTCGGGATGTGCGGATGGGCCACGGAGTCGACGTGGCCAAACGTATTTTCATTTCCTTGGATGATACTCACTCGTGTGAGTAACGACGAGGCATCTTCCCAGTCAGAGGGTGTTAAACTGAAGAATTGTTTGCAGATGCAGCTTCTGAGTGCAGTTACAGAAAATAATCTTGGGTTTCAAAAGCCAAATATTTTTAAGAATTGTATTGCTAATAACTTTTACGAGTGGCACTATGCTGTTCTGGAGAAGTCTACATAAATATTTTAGTAGTAGCTCTCTAACATATTAGACTTCCTTTTGCTGAAAGCGTCTGGCAGGGGACACAAGTCTGATTTGAGTGAATGTTTTATGCTTAGTCTCTAAAAAGGTGTAGAGGGTCTCCTTTCTGTAATGAAACCATCAACTATGTTGTTGCTTATACCAGGAAGGTTAAAAATCATAAGCAATTTTTTTCCAAAGAATTTCACTATGAAATATGGGTGAGATAAAGGTTTTATTGGTGTTGGATTGGGCTCACATGCCTTGTGTGCCTGTGGCTTTTTTTCCTGTGAGAAACGCTACCATCCCAGGCTTTTGCTAAGAAACTACTTCTATTTCAACATGACGTCTTATATTTTGTTCAAGGTCTGTTTCATAGAAGAAGGAACTACTTAATGTTTTTGGATTTTAAAAAACTCATTTGGATTCTTTATGTGTAAAGTCAGACAGTGTTTTAATACTTAAATGAGTGTTCTAAAGAGCACTGTCTGCCCAATAGCACGTATTGTCTATTTTTTTAAAGAATCCTGGTTTATATTTGTTATTTCCTTAAGTGCTAGTGTCTTGGATTTTTGCAGGGCTAAAAGTAAACAAAAGCTAAATGATAACAACTTATACAAACACACAAAGCTTGTGTGTGTACCATTAAAAATGTTACAGCTGGGATGGAGAAAACCAGGTTCTGTGATACGTGCTGAAGCGGGAGAAGATAGAAACCTGTTGAAGGGCTCAGAGTGTTTGCAGCTCACTTGGTGACACTGTCTTGGAGGGAACGATGTTTCATTTTGACTTGGGTGTCTCATGCTGTTGTTAACAGCTTCGCAGGTGGAATGTGTGTGCATCACACACACAGACGTACACCTGTAACTGTGCCCGGTGGGTTGAATTCTAATCTCACCCTGTGGAGAGCAAACCCAAATGATGGGAGTTTTCACTCTTCATTTTGCTTTGTTTGAAACACATGGCATGATTTGGTCATTTTCTTGCTTATTTCACAGCAAATCACTGATCTGAAAAAAGAGAACTTCAACCTGAAGCTTCGTATATACTTCCTGGAGGAGAGAATGCAGCAGAAGTTTGATGGTGCCACTGAAGAAATATACAAAATCGTATGCTTTTAGAATAATTTAATAAAATTACCTATCTTTTTAAAGAGTTTGTTTTGTTGGGAGGTTGCCTGCTTTATTCAACTTTTGAAACCTTTTTTTTTTTTTAAATTTTGGTATGATAACTTTATTTTTTTCCAACCTAACCCTTTTGAGTAATGCCTAAATTAAAATGACCTTTGTAAGGTGTGGAAAAAATTAGTTTCAGATGCACGAGTGTGCACAGTTGTGGAACAGACTAAGAGATGTTAGGTTTCCAGTAAGTGGTTATGAATCTTCGGTAGTTGTGCTACTGAAATCATACCCTCAGTGGGGAACAGAAGCAGCAGCATGCCTCTCCTGAATGTGGCATGTCGTTATTCTCCGTTCTGCTGTCGAGCAGTTCAGTCGACCCGTCTTTTCTTTCCTGAGTTTATCAGATGTCAGTACAGCTACTTGGAGGTTGTTTGGGCACTCCAGCTCCAAGTTGCTTCCTTTGAAGTAAAGTTGTATTAGGGTTGTATATAGCTTCCAGTTTTATTGCTCTAAATAGCAATCGAGTGTATCTGTACAGGATTCAGGAAGTCTATTTGATTCTTGTGTCAGTTTGTAGAAAAACTGGCGTCTTCTAAGTTGGGAGAAGGACTTGAGTCAAGTGGCATGTTTTGCTTCACTGTTATTTTAGGTTTACAGATAAGAGGAAGCATTTCTTATGCCCTTTGGTGGTGCCTGCATTCTAGAAGGGGAACACAGTAATTCTGTAACGCAGTAACACGTTGTTTATAACAGATGCATCAGGTCTCTTCTCTGTAATGGGGTGGAACCTCAAACCTCTCTTGATGCTTGTTGCAGCAAAGTGCGGCGATGTTTTTAGCTAGGTCTTGGTTTCATCTGAGTGTTGCTGGTGGCTCTTCTGTCCTGGTCTTCCACACCAGTGTCTGTCTTGTAATTGCTAATGTATTGAAATGGTACCTGTCAGCCTGCAGGCCAAGCAGTGCGTTGTACAATGTGTGAGGGTGTCATGTTTTCTCAGGCTTTAACAAAGTTATTTTAAGATTATTAAAAACATTGATAGTTGATACAGTCAGGTTCTAGAAAGAAAATGAACAGAAAATATCTCGTAGCTCAAAGAAAGACCATGCATGGAAGCCTTAGAAACTCCCAAGTTGATCTGCGCTACTCCCTGTTACAGTAGTTAAGTGTGTGTGCAGGGGGTTTCTCTAGCTTGAACACAGTGGTCCTAAATGCTTTTTGAGATTTCTGAAAGTCTTGAGCCTTGCAAAATATGTTCTTCAAAAGCTTAAATATCTCTATGCTATTCTTAGCCCAGTAATTCTTTATATTTGCTGGTTCAAGCAAAACGTAATCCACACATGCCAATGACTTTTGGGTAGGGTGACCTCTGAATTCTCTCCAGACACTTTCATTCTTTCGTCCTAGAACATTGAGCTGAAAGTTGAGATAGAAAGTCTGAAGCGTGATCTGCAGGAGAGGGAGAAACTGCTCATCAAAGCCTCGTAAGTAACAAACACCAAGAAATACCCTCCTACTCATCGTTTCCATGACCTTGCTTCTATTTGTTTTCTTGTTGATGTTTTAGAGATAGGAGGATTCCAAAGTAGTATTTTAAGGGAACTTAGGTAGAAATGGCTTCATTCGTTACAGAAATTACATGTGTGAATTCTTAAAGCGCGTAATGATGTTCACATAAATACACTGGATGGTGTGGCTTTGATATCAGCCCTCATTCTACCTATTTCAGGTACCTAAATGAGCCCCGAGTTGGGAACGGCTTAGCATTCCTCTTTTAGAAGTTAAGCTGAGAGCTTAATTGTCTGGACAGGTGAGGGTTTTTTTCACAGCACTGGGTTGGGAAGACTGGGCACAAAACACTTTGCAGTGAGGCTGAGAGCACAATTCAGAACTAATCTAGAACGAATCTTGTGGCTTTCAGTGTTACAAAAAGGAATGCACTTAAAATTCCTGTGCTTCTGTTAAAACCTCTTTTCTAAAGAAATATTATTTAAAAATTATATAGCAGTACATTGTTTTCTGGTGTGGGTGAGGTGGAATATGCTCTGGGGAGGGAATGGATGACTGTAGGGCTGACAGTAGCCTGTTAAATTGCTTTCTTCTAGACCTCTGGTTCAAAACTAATCCAGGCTGGCAGTGACTGACAGCTACTGACTGCTGCGTGGGCATCGGTTTCAAAGGGTGGGGAGGCATTGACACAGGTTGCCCAGAGAAGCTGTGGGTGCCCCATCCCTGGAAGTGTCCAAGGCCAGGCTGGATGAGGCTTGGAGCAACCTGGTCTAGTGGAAGGTGTCCCTGCCCATGGCAGGGGGTTTGGAACTGGATGGTCTTTAAGGTCCCTTCCAACCCAAACCAGTCTGTGATTCAAAGGAGTTTTCTTTGTGTGGTCTACTTCACGTGACATTGAATTGTTACCAATTAGACTTTTTTAGGTAGCTCAGAGAGGCCTAGTTTCAAGTAGATCCAGGTTACTTTTTGTTTTGTCTCCTGGCAGCTGTCCAAGGATACTGCTGGGCTTTGAATGGTACCTTGCACATATTCATAACAGGAAGCAAAATTTAGGGGGAAATCATAAACAAGTGGTTATCCTTGTTTGGTTAAGAAGCACTGGTTTTTTTATTTCTTACCAGGTATTATCAATCACTGAAAAGGCAGTTGAAGTCTCAGCAGCTGCATTTCTTCAGTTTATGCCAGTGCTGCTTTGTGTAGAAAATACAACTCTTCCAAAGGCTTGATACTCTATTTGGGAGCTTTAAAAATACAAAGGAAATATTACACTTCATTGTACATATAAAGTGCTTTCTTATCCACTGTGACAAGGCTTGTGTGTGGAAGTCAGACTCTGCCACCAACATTGCTCTGTGGTGTGTAGATGGTTGTATTTAACCTTCGTGAGAAGCAGGTGCAGATAAAGTGGAAGACACTTGCGTGTGCCCAATGTCAGCCTTCTGCACTTTAAATATTTCCCACTCTGATATGCAATGGGATTTCTGTCTATGTCATGGTCTTTCAGTAAGGCAGTTGAGAGCTTGGCCCAGGGTGGTGATGCTGAAAGACAGCGTGTGAAAGAGGAGGCACAAAAGAAGATGCAAGAAATGGAAGAAATGCTGACTAGCAGAATAAACGTTCTGGAAGAGGTGAGTGGCCAAAACTGAGGGCATGGTTAAAATCAATACTGTCTTTGTGCTATTGTCTGAGATTTGATACTGTGATCTACCTTATATTTTCAGAATTGTTTCAGCTTTCCTGGAAATATAGCCATTGCAAGACCAGACAGGAAAAAAAAATGAAAGGGAAAGTGTTGTTAGCTGCTCTTGAACTGTGAAATAGGAGGATAGCTGTTTCTTCGGGAAATTTGTACCTGTTGGTGGTGTTTGGGTACATTCAGCACAAACCTTTGATTCCTGAATTCCGGGCTGTATTTTCAGAACTGCAGTCTGTTTAGAGGCTGGGGCTGGATGTTCAACACTTCTACTGATAAGGTCCCAGCCTCATGAAGAGCTGAAAGCACTCTGTAAGCACTGCTGTCATTCCCTGTCTTTACAGGGAACCTCCTATTGCAATGTAGGAAGCCACAGACTCAGATTTCTATCCCTGCTCTTGTGTGTTCGTTACAGGCTGCGAGGCCACTGTTTGCCGCAGCCTCTGGGTGGGTGCAGCAGTGGGTGCTGCCCTGCGTGCCGCGGTGCCTGCCACTGCTGTTAGATTGACCTTCACCTGCCAAATGTTACAGGCTTCTGCTGCCATGAGATGCCCTTTTTTCCTGTTCCACAGGGTTAATCTTAACACTGTCTTTTTTAAATTCCTTTCTCTCTGTGGTTGAGACAGTTTATTCTTGTATTTATTGTTGAACCATTGCTTACGTCTTTACAGGGGAATCGCTTCACGTTGTCCTCATTTTGTGGTGTGAAGGCAAAAAAAAATTCTCTGTATGATTACACGCTTCCTCAGAATCAAGGGGAAGTTGAGATTCTTGTAAAGAACGAATTTGATATTAAATGGTCTGTGCTGGAAATGTTTGTGCCAAGTTTTAGAAACCCATCAGCTGATGATTGTTTTGCATCATGGGCTGCGTACACTTGTCTGTAGGTGTGGGATTTTGTAGCTGTGTCTGTGAGGGGGACAGGTGTCTGGTGCTCTGGAAGTAACTAGAAATAGCATAAGTGAGATATTCCAATATTTGCTTCTCCGTCCCTAAAGAATGAAGTAGCCATGGAAGATGTTGGTAGCAATCTCTGGATGGTATCTCCTGCCGGCATGATGTATCAGTATTCATAAAGCAGTGAGCCCCTTCGGGGAGGAGGAGGGAGGAATCTCTGTGACTTTTTTTTTCCAGTTTAGTGGGATTGGGATTTCTCAAAGCATTCTTTGTGCTATTGGATAGGTAGAGAAGTTCCTGAATTCCCAGATCTGACAGGCAGAAGGGCAAATATTCTAATCTTGTGGTGATACAGTATTTTCTGTAGCCTGAAGGTAGTGTTGGCCTCTGACATTAATTTTATTATGCTTAGGAAAGTAAAAATTGCCGAGTAGTATTAGTCACTTGTTTATATAGCACTGTGTAATTATATAGATCCAGGTAATGCTAATAAAGATTAATTTTCTTCAGAGTTTTGGATTGAAATATGAATACTGACAGAACAGCTTTCCAGGAGGGGGTGATGTCTGGTGGTGAAGGAGTTTGTTTTTTTCACCATCCCCCAGAGAGCTATGCTTTTTAGCGTAGACTTGCAGGAGAGAGGGGAATCAATTTTTAGGCTGCAAGGAGGCTTTTATTTTGTGGAAAGCAAGATTCAGTGAGCACAGCAGGGAAGCTTAGAATAAAAAAAAATTAAGATCTGAAACAAGGTGTATGTAGTGTGTGACAAGAGTGTTTTTTCTGGTGTTCCCTGTCTCCATGAGTTGGGTCACTAGAGAGAGTTGGCTGGAATTTCCGGGTGTTATCTCTGTTTCCATTGCTGTTTAAGAGGAAAAGTCTGATTTGTACTTTATCAATTCTTGCAAAATATTATAAATGATGCTGGGAAGAGTTCCAATTAACTACAGCGAGCCTGTGAATATTAATTTAATCTCTGATTGAATAAAACCTCCCTTCTTTAACTTCTCTAAGCTATTATGATAGTGGGAGGACAGTGGGACAAAGCCAAATTATAATAGCTCAATCGAAAGCCATAACACAGGGCATTTTTGTTTCCAGTTCTGCTATCAGTTAGGGTATTTGTTTTATTTCTTTGAAACAAACTTCCCTTCTGTAATCCATCCTCTGTAGTACTTAATCTTGAAAACGCAGACATAGAGTTCAGAAGCGTTCAGAAGGTGCTTGATCTACGTGGTAGAAGTTGCTAAATTAAACAACCGACATATGTTTTGTAGAAGAAACTTCAACATGTGAGAACTTTCACGAGCATTTTGTTCTTGTAGGCGTCAGAGTTGTGTATTTTAATTGCAGAATCTTAAAGCTGCCCAAGAAGATGTGGAAAAAGCCATTGCAATGACAGAGAAGGAGAAAGCTCTGAGAATAGCTGCTGAGCAGAAACTTTCTTCAATTATGAATGACCCTGCCAAGAACCGGGATGTGATTTCAGGAACTGAGAAAGACAGGTCAGAACTCCTTGCTGGTGATGTTTCTAACCACTGGAATTCTCTACTGTTTAAAGTGTCAAGTGTTGACATGATATAGGTTTTAATAGTTTGATCCTACCCTCAGATACGTGAGTGAGCGTTATGGGCCATCTTTCCTATTCAGCCGTTAAATGAACACAGCAAAATCAGTATGTGTGTGATATGAGCATGTCCTGCTCTACAGCATCTTTGTAACTTTGACTTACCTCCTGCTTGCTGCTTTCTAGCCACTCCTGAACAGCAACTGACTCTACCATTTGTGTTCTCTTTCTGCATTCATGGTGTTTATGTAATCTTTGCTCCCGGTGATGTGTCTGTTGAGGCGGGTAAATCTGATGGGAAGAGGAACGTAGTGGGAGCTTCATGGTTTTGATTGTGCTTTGCAAAGCACCGGCTTTGCTTGGGTAGGTAGCTGGAAAGGTGTGGGAGGTGTTCAGTAGCTTATGAGTTTATACATTTTCCCTCCTGAATCTCAGCACTTTGGAGGACTTGAGCCCAGAGTGGAGGTGAAAAGATTGTTGTGATTCCTTACACTTTGCAGTATCATTTCCTGTCCGTCTGTGACTGAATTCTGCAGGTAACTGCTCTGTGAGTAACTGCATGATTGGCCTACCCTGTTAACGAAGGTATGTTGGCCTGAGGCTTTCATTTCAGAGGTTTTATATTACAGTAGGACCCAAGCCAGGCTTGTGGTGTTTTCCAGGCAGTTTTTGTAAAAGCATACAGATTGAAAACTGCAGATCTGAAATCTACAGTGGCATGAAATTATGAAACTGTTCTGATATTGCACCTTATGAGCCACCACAGTGATTATAACCTGGCTCTCAAGTTACCTTTCTCCTTCCTGTCTTCCTCTTTCTGTCTGTTAGTCATCTGCGTGAAGACAGTTGGTCTCCTGAGTGCCTTGAGCTGGGAAGGAGTTACAAAACCAGTCCCTTTCAGAGGTACTTTAGTTGCCAGCGCTATAGCTTGTGTGAAAACAGTGCTTTAAGTGAGGAAACAAACTGTCAGGGTTGGATCGCTGAAGTGAAGGCTGTATAGAGTATGACGAAGAACGTTTGCTCCCCTTGCCCCGCTCCAGTGTTAGCAGGGTCTTCTATAATTACATGCTGGTAGATGAGCTTAAGTATTCCCAGGACCAGAAAAACAGTGCTAATGGCAGAAGAGAATATTTGACTTCTTGAAGCGAATCGAATATTAATGTGCAATGCTTAAAACTTGTCTGGGAGTAGCACAGCTGGAATTCATACTGGGGTAAAACTCTGACCATGCAGGCTACAAAATGCTAAGAGAAGAACAGCTGGCATCCTGTGCCGGGAAGTTTGCGCATATAACCCTTGTGTCTGTCAGAAAGGCCAAGCGTTGCTCTGTTTATCAGTTGGAATACTGGAAGTGTCAAGAAGTGTATTGACCAAAGAAGGTACCACTGACCTAACTTTTCTTGCTCACGTGAGACAAGAACCAGCTTAGGTACAAATATGAATGCAGCCAGGTACTTGAGGGACTCTTGGTGATGGCACGTAAGGATGCAGTGTTGTATGTGCTAAGCAGTGGTATGGATTGATAAGCTTTTTGTGTGTGCTCTAAAGGACAATGTACCTAAAATGTTGAAGCTTAAGTGTTGACGTTTGAAATGGTACTGGAGGAAAATAAGAACGAGCACTTTGCAGACAGCTGAACACTGTGTGTTGCTTGCTTTAAAGTTATGGCACCTTTTCTGATTTCTCTGGAGGGAGAAGGGATTGTGAAAGCACTCCCTGAAGTCTTGCAAGTGTTGTCTGGAGTCTTCATCTAGGAAGGCTGTCTGCGAGATTTACTGCGCTGACTGGAGAGTTGGTGGTAGATGATGCAAGATTAATATTAAAAATCTTATAATTTTAGACTTATAGAGCAACTGAATCTGTCATTGAAAAGTAAAGAAGCTGTAATTCAACACCTTGAAGAGGAAAAGTCTCAGAGTGGATCTTACGATGGGAACTTATCAGCAGAAAAAATCAGAGAACTTACCATTGCTTTGAGGCATGAAAAAGATAGTGAGATAGAGGTGAGGAAACTGCCTGAAGTTATGTCATAAATGTCATGTGGTGTAGGATTATAAAGGTCTTGTGCATGATGGTTTGTGAGTGACTTAGGCCAGTTTTTTAAAATGGACTTCTCCACAGTTATTCCCTCCCTCTCATCTCTGTTTTCTTAACATTCATTGGTCATTGTGGTTTGGTGGTCAGTATTCATCCTTATTACCCATGCTTACCATTCATTCTGTCAGAGGACCTGTTTCCCATGGACTTTATGCCTGCATTACAGATACTGTGCAGTTGTTTTACAGAATTATATATGAAAAACGCTGGATGTTAATAGATTCCTCAATAGATGAGGCAACTTCTATAGAAGTTAGGAATGTGATTTAAGAGTTTATTTTTGGGAAGAATCTCTACTGTTATGGGCTGGAGAAGAAGCTGTGGTAAGGGAGGTAGGCATAAAAAAAAAATCTCATGAAGTAAAATGGAAGTCTAGCCTTTAGCTTAAGGTGCTAAGAGCCAGTCTTCTGTTTCACTTGGCTCTTAAACGGGAAGATATATCCAGAAAGCTGAAATAGAGAAACAGGCCTTAAGGCTTGTTTCCCACCCCCCACCCCCACTGGATATTCAGACAATAAATTAAAGCTGGCAGAATAAGGAATAATCATGGAGGCTGTCATGCTTCTGAGCTGTTTTCTTCCCTTTTGATTTGGACCTTAATACTGATCAGTACCTACACACTTCTGTGTTTATGTCCAGAATAGACAAGAGAACCTTCTATGATTGGACTGATCAGTGGAATTCCAAGTTTTCAGTTCTGGGTCTTCTTGCAATTAAATCAGTACGTGTCTGGAAAAGCTACCCTGGTTTCACAAGAGTATTTGTGTGTCAAGGTGAATGCAGGGTCACCTTTAATCATTTCATACGAGGTGGACAGACTGATCATGTTGGGATACAGCATGGGAGAAGAAAAATCTGATTGATAACTTTGCACAACTCTGTTATTATATACGATTACTTAAAAAAAAAAAAAAATCTGTAACCTCCCTGAAGAAAAGTGCTAATTAAAATCTCTCTTGATGAAAGCATCTTGCTGCCATAGGTAAATGTCACATAAAAATACAGTTTTATTAACTCGACAAGTACAGTTGTTCTGTCTCATGGAGGGACATGCTGTGTGGGGTTTTGGTGTGGTTATTTTTCTTCTCAATTTGGGCAGGCTCACACTGTGCCCAGGTAGATTAGTAGACTTCCATGAAGCAACTGGTTCAATACATTCCTGCCCAAAAAAGCATATGCTAAGTTCTGCCTGCCCCACCCTCACACAGGTTTTTAAGATCATTTTGTTTCGTTTTAATGCTTATTGAGTTACATTTGTGTTTAGAAGGAATTTGCATGATCGTAATAACTGATTTGTCCTTTTAGGCTATTAGAATGGAGCTTAAAAATGAGAGAAATTCCTTTGAAAAAAAAATTCAGGTAAGTTCTGGTTTTGTTTCTATTTCCTCGACCATTTACAGTGCATGTTGGGATGTCTTCACTTTCATAGATACAGAGGGACCATGACTCGAAAGGAAGCAAAGCAAGTCCTCTGGTGAAGTCTCATTTGTTAGATGTCAGGAAGGCTCACCTCGTTTTTGAAGCAGTTTTCAATAAAACTGATAAATATGCTCCTCAGGTATTGAAGCTGCTACTCATGGCCATTCCATGAGATAAGGCTTCTTATACTATATTCCAGGCACATCTTTAAGATGATGACTTACATTTTGGGACTGTATTTTATGTTAGTAATCTGAGTAATAAGATAGAAGAACTCTGAGAGAATGTACTTATTAATGTGCAGTTACAGTATCTCTTAGTGGGGAGTTAATGCAACTTTCACATAATCTAATTTAGTCACTTCAAGAAGAGCTACAAGAGAGAGAAAATGAGCTTGCTGTTGAAAAGAAGAATGGTTTGAAAAGGGATAAAACCATTCAAGGGCTAACTGTTGCATTAAAAGCAAAGGAAAAAGAGGTATGATGATTGTGATCTTGTTGGTTTGGGGAACTGTCATTGGGAGGGGAGTGTGTGTTGTGTATGTGGCAGGGGTTGATGGATCTCACCATAACTGTAGGAGGCTTCAATTGAGTCCTTAATCACTGCTGTCATATCTGTAAGCAGCTCTGTTTATCTAGAGTTTTGGGTCTTGGACTGGAGGGGAGAGGAAAAAGATACTTAACTGATATGTTCTCCCTTAAGAACTTTAAGGAAAAATGTTTTCAGTTGCACACTGATTTTTATCAGTTCTGAGCACTGCTTAAAAAGGTATGAGAAGTATTTGATGCTGTTGAGTAAGTGGAGCTGTCATAAAGACAGCTAAAATGGGAGAGGTCCGCGTCAGCCGAAACTCAGATTTTGTGGAAGAATGGGGAATAGTTAACTTGAGTGATAGACAGTCTAATGAGTGTGGTATGAGAACACGAATTCCTTTATACAAGATTATTAGGATGTATTTGGTGGGTTTGTTCTTTAAAGTATTTGTCTTACGTAGCTGGATAATGAGGTGGGATAGCTATTACTGAATCACCATGCCTTGGTAATAACTCTTTCTATATAGTATTAATTTCACTTTATTTAGAATGAGGAGCTTAGTTCTGAAATTGAAGATCTGAATGTTTCACTGGCTAAGGCAAGAGAGGCAACTCACAAAGCACACATCCAGAAATTCAAGGTAAGAAGCAAGCAATTAATGTGGCTTCCCCTATCCCTGCTCCTCCTTTCTCTGTAATTCCACACAGTGGGTAGTGCTTTGTATCCATGGAATTAGAGGAATTGAAATTAGTTTAAAATTTTGGGTTTTTTTCAAGTAAGAAATATTGAAATACCAAATTATTTAAATAAAGAGTGTTAAAATGTCAGATTACTTATAGAAGAAAAAAAACCCCTTCAGAAATAAGAACTGAGAATTATTAAGGTAGAAAGGTGTAAAATCAAATAGGTTTAAAAATAAAGACACCAGTGGTTGTGGAGTTGAGATGATAACTGAGTTTGCTTTGTTGACCTAAGAATGCTTTGGTTTTTCTTCCTGAAGTCTGGTATCGGCCCACTCTTCACGTTAGCAGAGTTGAACTGGGTGTGAGACACTGGTTTGGATTCATTTATTTAACAAATGTGAAACCACGGTTTCTGCAGTAGTCGGTGTTGTGTGTGATTTAGTAATGTTTTCATGTGTGTGGAGGAGAAGGGACTTTGAGGCTGATTTATGCATTATAAAGGCCTTGAAGTGTAAAATGGGAGAAAGTAAGAATTTGAGATTAACATAGACAACATAATGTGTCTCATAATGTTTTCCAGCTCCTCTAAAACTAATCAGTAGGAGTCGGTTTGAGCAGACTTAGAGGCAGTGATGAATCTTCCATTACGATTGTACATCCACTTGGTCCCTTAGCAGCAACGGGAGAGGTTGGAATGCTTGTCTCCGCAGTACACCTGAAGCTTTTGTGACTGGCTGTGCTGTTTTTTGATTTCAGGGTGTAACAGAGTAGTAATGCTTAGTTCTTGCAGAGCACCTCCATTTCTTCAAAAGCCATTTCTTTCGCTTGGGCCCAAATTTTAAGTGTGTTCTATTGAGAAAAGTAGATGGTATTTCTTCTTCAGGTCGTTTTGGCCCATGTGTGAATATAGCTTATGTTTGCTTTGATGGAAGTCCTGCTTTGAAAGGTTACTCTAATTTTAACCCTTCATTTTTATGAGAGCTTGGTTATTTTTGAAAGGTTCTAGGTTTAAAATGTGCAACTAATCCCTCCTGTTCACAGAATCCATAATGCATGGTGGGTGACAGAGCAAGCCTTTCTCCTCATTACTCTGCTACTTAGCTACAAACTTGAGTTGAAGGCAGTTCTCTGTGAGTACACCATGCTGCACAGCCCACTACTCCTGTCATCTGTTGTGAACTTCAGGGAGGCCAGTTGTAACAGTATGTGATGGGAAGAGCACAAATCAGACCTGCTGTTTCATATAGAAAATATGCTGATGGCATGGTAACTACATGACCAAGTCTGGATTCAAACTGACCCGGAAGTGCAAAGCTTTATGTAGTAAGAGCTTTGGGAACCAATAGTAGTAATAATACAGTCTCGCTTGCACCATGGGCTCCTTTGCAGGTCAACCTTTATCTAATTGTTAGTTATCTAAGGCTGTTATCCTGCACTGGATGTCGTTGCAAACTGTGTTACCTTAGTGGAGAAGACGTTCAGTGTAGCGTTTTCCCTGTGGTATGAGTAACTGTCACTTCACTGCAGTTCTGCACCGTAGTTTTGAAGTACTGGAAAAAGGTGTGGGGGAGTGGGTTTGGACGCAACAGGGGTAAAGACTTCCAGTCTCTGCAAAATACCTTTATAGCACTTGAATGTTGCTTTATGTTTCAGGGTGCAGAGGATTATCAAGCTCTCTTGATGGAAAAAGAGACTCTCTTAGCAGAGCTGCGTTCAGAAAACCTTACAAAGGATGCGGAGAATTGTAAACTACAAAGGAGGATTAAAAGGACCGATCAAGAGCTAAATGATTTGAATTTGGAAAGAGAGAAAATGGAGAAGGAGCTGGATGAAGCACAGCTACAGAAGAGCAGAAGTGACAAAACCATTAATGTTATTATCGCTTTCTTTCCTTTATTTCCTAAAATCTAGAAGTAATTTGCCATTTCTAGCATGTCCTTTACTAAGATTTATTTTTTTAATTTGAATACTTTTTGGGAAGGTAAATGCATTTGCTGAAGCCAGTGTTCAAAAGAATGTGGCCAAGAAGATCGAGGAAGATGCAGGCACAGTCTGCACAGAAAGATATTTTAAAATAAATATCATCTTGAAGGTCTTAGGTCCTAGAAAGAAATCCTTGGCCTCTGTAAGTGGTATATGGTTGCTATCGGTTTCAGTTTTTCCTGATGGCAGAATCTGAACAGGCACGATGATGTATGTGTTATAGTGCTGCTGTATTTGTCTTGTTACGTGTCTTTCCATTATCTTAACTGACACAAAAATTAAACGTTCTTTGAAGTTCTAATGCAGAACAGGAGTAAGCAGCCAGTTGTTGCGACCTCAAGTCAAATTTCAGTTTGATTTTGCTGTTACAGCAGGGGTCATACCATAAAGGCTGTATATTTAATAACTTCTGATTGTAAAATTGCTATGATGTGCTGTATCTATCTGCTCTTTAATTTTGCTTCCTGCTTATTCTGCTTAGTTTTTACCTTGCTGTAGGCATTTAGATAAGCGCTTCTGCTCCTAGCACGCACAGCTCACGCAACAAAGTGAATCATTGGATTTCTTCTTTTCTTCCTTTGAAAAAAAGATGCACCTTCTGCGGAGAGTTTGCCATAATACATACTTCTCACCTCTATGTCTCGTCCCGTGGATTTTTCTAAAGTCTTCCCACAATTGCTTCCATTAGGGCAGCATTTGCATAACGAGCAGAGTCCTGCCTGCATGCGAAAGCTGGCCCTCTTCAGTTAGGGATTAGTCTCCTGCGATGTTAAATTACATAAAAGATTAAATGAGCTAGTCTTTATTCAGTGGATGTTTTGGTTCAATTATTAAATAAGGACCTTAATAAAGCAGGTGGACGTGGAAATTGCTGTCCCTGCAATATCACCGAAAACCAGTAGAGGGCTCTCTTTACCCGCAAACAAATTGTTCTCCCTGCCTCCTGCCCCCAATTTAACTCGCATTTTTGGTTTTGATTGTCAACTGTGGTTAGGCTGCCGTCACAAAGTCTCTATCTTTGGTGTGCTTTGAAATTTCTTCAGGGTGTTGAGGTTAAGGAGAGAAAGAACAGATCGCTCCTGTCAGTAAAACAGCAACAAAGAACATATTTTATTGATTTAAAGTATTTTATATTTAACTGTCTTCTTTATTCACAACTTTTTTCATCTTTCAGGGGAGCTAGAATATAATTCTGTATAGGAAAGACAGGAAAAATAGGACTGAGGAGGGAGTTGCCAGGGGATTCAAAGTTACCTGTGTTACAGAAGCCTATTTGACTCCATTATGTCCATGTTTTTCATGTAAATGATTAGCTCCTTGGGGAAAAGCGTTCGTTCCAGAAGATGAGCAGTCTTATAAAAATTATATCCCTAACCTATTTCCTACTCCTTGCAGAACAGCTGCTTCAATTTCAGAGTTGCTGGTACATTTGGATCTAGCAACATCGCCTGTGAAATGTTGCCCATTAAGTAGTAGATATGTGGGAGTAAAAAAATACGCTCTGATGTTTTGCTCTTTGACAAATAGAAAACCACTTCAGTGATCTGATGCAAACTTTTTATGAGACAGCCTTAAAAATTCTGGTCTATTTATGCTCAGAGATAGCTATTTATCAGCATTTCTATTTTGTTAGAATAAAAACGGCCAGAATGTGCCTAAACTGTAGAAAATGCCCTCGATATCTGTAATGAACTGCTGTCTGAGCTCTTCACTCATTCACAGGGAAATTTTCAATGACTTTTAATATATTGTAATTGGGATAATCCCAATTCTTGCAGATATCTATCTAAAAAAAAAAAAAGTGACCTGTCACCCAGCTTGTCAAGGTGATTTGGGCTTTCCTGTGCTGGAGGGGAAGAAGCTTCAGCTAAATTAAGACTGCTACTTGTGAGCTGACCATCCAAATCCTAGACCGTGCCCAGTGTTAGTCTTCTGGAGCAATGGGCACAGATATTGTGTCCCAGCCTCAGGGTGGGCAGGTGTCCTGGCTTTTCATCAGGTCACCTTTAAAAGCAAAAACTCTTTCAACTCTGTACTTTCCAGAGCTGCTGTTAAGCAATAGCTCAGCATCACTTCAAGGTCTTTGAAAAAAGAAACGTTGGGCTTATGTTCTTGGCTATAATTGATGAGGAATAAATATCAGCTCATTGTTAACGTTGCTTGTGTCCACCACGCTGCTGTGTCTGTAACAGTTTCGGCGCTTCTTGATCGAAGCGTTTGTTCAAATTTACACAATTAAACACATCAAGCATCCGTTCTCTCTCCAGGCCTAAATGTAGACAATTAGAGTGTATTTACTAGGTGTTCATATTTGATCAGTTGGTTGGGGAAATGCAGAATAACTCATTAGACAGAATTTATTCAGTCTTCCTACCTCTAGTTTAGCCTGAGAGGGAGGTTTTGGAGCGTCACAACTTAATTATTCACCAACCTGTTTTCCATCTGACAAGGAGGGGGAGGCATCTGCTCCAGTCTTCTGCATTATAGTGTTTCACATTCATTTTTCTTAGTTCAACTATCATTAATCATAGGAAAGTCTCTTGGGAAAAAGGTTGGCAGAGGGAATTGCAAAGTTTATGCTCTGAGAACTGTAGGCACTATATTATCCCTGCAATTCAGTGTATAGAAACCAATAGATTTTTCTCCCAGACAATTTGAGTGGTCAATGAGTTCAAGCAACCTGCTATAGTGATGGATAGGTTTGTGTGTTACAGAATCCTAGCCCATGCAAAGAAGGTAATTTTCAGTCTCAACTCTAGCTTGGTTTGGGAAGGTTTTAGGGAACTCTGGGGGCAGAAATAGTCGAGGCAAATTATCTGCAAAGTGCAAGTCTCACAGGCTTTTTTACTTTTTCCAAATTGCATGCCTTGTCAATCCAACTCTTTCCGAAAGCCTCGCCGTAATATTTGTGCTGCTTTAGAGGCAGAAGCATAGTTCCTGTGCCTGCCAGGTGTTGTACACCAGGATGGCTGAGGTATAGTGCTGTTACTGCAGCAGCATCTTTTCTGTCTGTGCAGGTCTGTCATCTTCTCTTACGGTGTTCATAAACAGAAGCTGCAGAGCAACGGTCCCTTGACGTTATAGGGTGGGTCAAAAGTGTTCCTTTGTCCAGTTACCTAGCAGTAACAAGCCGTTCACTTAACACCTCTCAGTGATGCAGTGGTATAAAACCAACGTAAAAGTGGACGGCCAGGGAGCGACATTGCAGTGCAGTGAAAATCGTAACACCGCAGTCGATCCTCTGCTTCCAGTGCTGTATATGAATAGGCTGAGCGTGACCCCCTTGAAGAGCTCCCTAACTCGAAGCCAAAAGGCTTTGTGGTTAACTTTTATTGAGTTAGCAGTTAGGAAGAAATAGAAGCATGTTTGAGGGTTTGTGTGTACAGACAGGACATGGGCCTGGTTCTGCAGTTCTTTAGTTTTCTTAGCCACGCAAGTAGTTCTTTTGCCCCCGAAAAAATTATTAGTTTGCAGAACGGAAGGTCTAAGCTTAATCATTCTTTGAAACGGAATAACATTTGAGTTTCTTTGGGAGCTATTAGGGCTTTCTTAGCTAAATCCTGGCAATGAAGCTAAAATTAAACAAGTAAACCAAAGGGCATTTTAAATGACAATTTGTATTTAATGTGCAAAATAAACAGAAGTGAAACACTGAAGTAGTAAAATGATGTTGAGAATTTGATGTGAACCTGCATGAAGCGAGGTAATTAAGTCAAGGAAGGGACATAAAACAGTTTGTAAAGAGATTGCAATTAAAGTGTCACTAGTACTATCTCTTTGTACTTAGAATAAGGAACAACTATTGAATTTTAAATCCCAGTGGAGGTACATGTAAAGTTTATAGGTGACTACCATATGTGCAGACTATTTAAAGGGCTTATGATACTTCACAAACGGGCCCTTTTTGGGGATAAATGGAAAACATTTATTTTAAGATGTAGGCTGCGTTACCTGGTTCTTTGGGTCTGAACAGAAAGTTAGATAGTATAAAATCTTCTATAACTTTTAATTGTTTCATTTTAAACAATAGCTCCAAGCAAGTTTTTACTTCTCTTTTTCCGCACAATCCATGCAATAAATGCAGAGTAAAAGCTTATAAAATGAGGTTAGTGTATATGCAAGCTGTGCCTCCTCCAGTTGACAGTGGTGAAACTTCCAATAAATGAGCAAAAATGTCTGAAGTGATGCAAAGGGTGGTGGGAGAGAAGCTGGAAGGACAGAGAAGCCCTGTTACGGATTTTTCATACTGCCCTGTGCTCTTGTGTATTTTCCACTCTGTAACTGGGAACTGACTTAATTACATGATAATTTTATGCATATTTCTATCGATATAGCGATTGTCCCAGTTCCTAGCAAAATGTAAGTAATAGGAATTTTGTGTTATTGCTTAGAACCCAAGGCTTTATCAGGTGATCAGACTTTGAAACCCTGTAGGTAGCAGATTTTCAGGTGGGGTAGAACAGGATCTGTAGGAATGCAGAGGAGAAAATGCTAATCTGGAGTGCATCAAGTCTCTGACCTGCGAGCTAGGAGACACTGCTTTTTACATTTACAGTGCTGCTACCAGATCTCAAGAGACCTTTGAACTTGCTACTGCACAAGGCTATTGAAAGAGATTGTTTCTGTCTTTTAGAAGGGAAATGGCCAAGAAGTGTATGTTTCTCTAGTGGGCATCTAAGATGTGGAGATGGTGCAACTAATCTTGGAGCTGCAGGAAGTAATTAACAGAGCCAGAATCAAGATCAAGTTGTGTTCACATCTCCTGATCCTGCGACTGACCTGTTTGGTCATTTGAAGTTTGTGCTCTCCTCAAAAGAAAATGTTTTAACATTGCTGACCTTTTGTTTGATGCAACAGTAACTAGTAGTACAATGTTAGCGCAAGAATTTTCATGGTGTGATGAGAAAAAGAGCAAATGACAAACTGAATCACCCGTAACCAATTTTCTCCTATTTCTAGCAAGGGAGTAAATTGACTCAGAAGCGAGTTCATTCTGACAGCGACAACGTCTACGTGCACGATGTTCCCAATAGCCTTGAAGTCCAGTTCTGTATGAAAAGCATTTAAACAGCAACCCCGATTTTTAGAAGACAATACTGACACCACGCCTAAAAGTTTTCTGTCTTTAATTGTGTTCGTTGATGCCAAGAGAAAGGCTTAAACATTTGTTAAGCTAATAATGTGGGTTGTTAGTCTTAAACTTTTTATGAAGTTGATTTGCTAAATATTCAGTTTCTTTTTTTTTGTTGTTGTTGGTAGGACCTTAGAAATCAGCTAGAGAAATTACATGGTGAAATGGCTGAGAAAGAAAAAGCAGTGGAACATCATTACAATATTCTTTTGAGTGAAAGCAATCAGAAGCTGCAGAGCCAAGAACTAGTTATCAAGCGGCTAACAGACAGTGTCAATCAGAAGGATCTACAGCTTCAGGTAGGTAGATGTAGGTTGAAATGGAAAATAGAAAGTTATCTTTGATTTTGTATGAGGAATTATTACAAAGTCACATTTGTATTTGGAATTACTGTTGATTTTGATGATAATCCTTCACTTTCTATAATACTGTATTTGCAGAACAGACATATAATTATAGAGCGTGTGGCATTCTTCAAGATTTCTTGTTAAGGTTTTCTGAAGCGTGTGGACAGAGGGGGAAGAAAGCTTTACTAATACTTATGTAGAATTTTCACTGTTGTGGTAAGATACTTTGAAAGCTCTGAAGTGCCTATGATTTTCAGCTTATTGTGAGGAAACCAGAAGTTGAGGAATAGGTAGAGATACTGATTTTTTTTTTTTGAGCCTATTCAAATTTTTTTTTTTTTTTTTGAGCCTATTCAAGCTGATGTATGTAGAAAGGAGCTGCCTGAATGTTAACGGACCCTGCTCAGGTTTTTTTATAGCTGGAGGTATAATCCACCTGGATACCAAGGTGCATGCCTTGACATTTCTTACTACTTAAAGATTGGGTAGTTACGCCATGTGAAGAACAAGTGCTGGATCATCATGGGATATTCTCCTGAATTTTGTTTGTTTCTCTATTTTGCAATATAAAACTAGAGTCAAAACTATTTCACTGTTTTCCTTTCTCAGAAACTTGATGGAGCGGTTAAAGAAAAGGATGCAGAATTGCAAGAGCTCCTGAATAAGTACAAGAACCTTCTAAAAGCCAATGAAGAACTTGAACTGAAAAATGAGGGCTTGGTAAAGGAAAAATGTGCTGCACAGTCTCAACAGTCAATCACCAAGATAGTCAGAGAGTTAGAGGTGAGTTTTTCATAACTTTGATCAACTGCAGATAAATACCTTGACTTCAGATTGAGGAGAATTTTGACTTAGGCTTCAAAGATGCAGAATCATACATGTTGTAATTCACCTCTGCAGCTAAGGGCTGGTTTTCCTTCAGATCAGTGCCATCACAAAATGTTCTGTATTATTAAAACAATGGCTTTATTAATGTCATATGATTTGCGTCGTGGTGGTGTTGATGTGGTATCATAAGAGTACACAGTATTGTACTCTGATGAGTTTATATGGCACCATTAAATGGCATCACATTACTCTCAGAAAGCATGTAAAATGTTTTTCCTGCTATAGAGAGGTAAGCATTTTGCGGTCATGAGGGTAGACATATTTTCCTGAGTGGGATGGTACGTTTCTGAAGAGAGGTGCAGAGGAGAGTTTGTGTATTTCTGATAGATGAGGGAAAAGATTGCACAGAGCTTGTGACCGCAGGAGATAAATGGGGTTGGATCAAAAATGTAGGTAGGAGTGAAGATATGTCTAGGCAAGAAGAAAACTGCTTTAAAGCTAAGACGAAAGAAAACAGTACAGAAAAACATATATTAAAAAAGGTGGACATTATATGCTCATTATTTGATTGGATGCCATAAATCAAAATGACTTGTTAATACCTGAAATCGGAGGTCAAAATTCAAAGTCTTAAAATCTAGAGTTAGTTCCTCCCCCCCTTCTGTACTATCAAAAAGAGTCAGATACTGTTAAGAAGATTTTGAAAGACTGACTCTGTCAGTGCATCTTTCATTATTGTGTACAGATTATTGAACAAATTAGTTGCTTTTGAAGGTACGTTTCTTGTCTGGGATATTTTTTTTTTTGTGGTGTTTGCAGCCTAGTATGTGAAGGTCTCCAAAAGCATCAGGCAAAGTAAAAAGAATGAGAGTAGTATGTACTAATGACAGAGAAAGCTATTTAGTTTCTTTAATAATATGTCGGTCATTGATGAGATTTTCTCAAGGATGTTTAAAATAAAGTGAGTCAGTGGCAGAGGAAGTGAATGCCGTGTCTTTTGTCATATTCTGAACACACTAGTGATGCGTTGCTTCATTTGTTATAGGTGCTATTATTAAACAAGGTAGATGCAAGGACACGTTGACCCATGGGTTGTATGACAAGCCTAGAGTAAAGGAGCTGCATCAGTTTGCCAGGGTAGCAGTGCAGGGTATACCAAAGAATATGTGAATATACATGCAGAGAAAATGAAGTCTGTGAAAGGCTGAGTAGAAATTCTACGTCTGTAAAACAAACTGCAGTGCATGCACGTTAACTTCTGTCACGAAGGGACCTTAGGGTGATAGAAAATCATACAGAATTAATGAAAATCAAACACTAACTTCCCTCTGCACACCCCACTTCCAGCACCGGTGTATAACCAGGAGAGCGAACAGTGGCAAGCGAAGCCGTGCGCGGTAATGACCCAGTACCCACCTGCTAATCACAAGCTATTCTCTATTGCTGGTTCACTTGTGATTGTGAACAATGCCTAATCATAACCCATTGTCCTCTCAGCTCAACCTCTGTAAGATATCTCCTGTAAAAACCCACTTTGGCATATTAATCACAAGTTTTTGGACACAGATTATGCAGAGCTCTGCTCTCATTGGCTGCCTTGGCCTCTTTGATGACTTCACAGTGCTGCACCAACTCTCAACAAACGCACAGCTGGATCCTCCCCACCGGAGAGAACAGAAACCGAACTCCTCTAGCCTCACTGATCTTTAAAGTTGAAGAAACTGAATTGAGAGATGCAGAACTTTCTCTCTTTCATCATGGCTTTTTACTTTATTTTAATGTAACGATAAATTTTAAAGCAACCAACATCCAAAGCTCTGCTGGGTGCCTTGGCCAGGCCAGGGAAGATAAATGACAGTTTCTAATTAAAGTTTGGATTCTTGAGCCACTGTCATGGGCTAGAGAGAGATTGTGCGAGGGCACTGATAATTAATAAAGTTAGTCATGCAACTGCTGACTCTGGTATCTGTGAAGTCTCGGAATTAAATGTATTTTACAGCCAAAGAATTTAGAAATGCATTAGACTTCATGTAATTTTGGAAACTCGTTGGTTTTGTGCTTAACGCTCCTATCCTTGCAAAGCTCTCGGGGTTGGAGCACTTGTTAGGTAAAGATATTTCTAACACGGATTTTAAGACCTTTTTGATTCATTTTATTACTGAGAAAAGCAGCAAAATTGAGAAAAGTGGCTGTTGCTCAGTCCTGGAGCTGCGTGTCTGGGTTCTGTTGTGTTGCACGTGTAATCTTGCACGCAGCGTGTGCTGCAGAAAGGGGCCACAGTGGTAGGAGTTGTAATTCCAAATTGATTTCTCCAAGTATAAAAAAGAAAAAAAAATATCCTGGATTTGCTGCACTGTAGCCTTTCTGTGATGTCTGGTTTTCTGAGGGGGAGCTTAGGTACCCCTTGAGGAAGGAGTAGGAATGTGGTTAGCTGATACAAGGCAGATGTGGTGTTTCTGCAGACACAAGGCGCTTTCTAATTCCTGCGTGATCAGCACATTAGTTGACTTGGGTTATCATGTCTCCTGTGTTTAGGGAGTTAATATGTGCGGTCGGGGAACTGAAGAGTGCTGCGCAGACGGTTGGGCCGTCCCATTTGCAGCGGCTGACGAGATCACAGCAGTGCAGGGAGGTTCCTGATGCGGCTAGAGCTCGTGACAGTTGGAATGGGTGCGGTTGTTGCGGTGCTGCGACCCCGTCGTAGCCGTTGGGTGGATGCGGTGGGCACGTTGTTTCGGAGTCGTGGGGATTGTGGAAGGTGATGCCCTCTGTATGCAACGTCCTGTCCGTGATCAGGGCGCTTGTAGTTGCTTTCAGTCTCTTGAAATTGGCATTGTGGACACATCAACAGGGTGGTAGTTCAGTTTCTGATTTGATGAGATTAGCTTATAGCTGAAAACAGCAATTTTTTCTTAAATATCCATGTATTCACACACTTCAAACATGATGCTTTTACCTGTGACACTGAGCATGGCCTGGTGATGGGATGTGCTTGGTGTGTCTCACCAATTCCGTGTTAGCAGAAATTTCATCGTAAAGGAGTTAACCCGATGAAGTGATATTTGGAGATCTGTATATAGTCCACTGATCTTACCTCACCTGTCACCAAGAAGGGCCCTAAGTTCCTCGGAGCCATCAGCTTTGTGACATTTTCTGTGGTTGAGATAGACACCTTCTAAAAGTCACCAACAAAGCCTTTTGCTGTAGTAATTTTTGTCTTTAGATATATGACTCGGTGGCCTGTAACAACTTGAATCTTACTAGCAATTGTTTCACGTATGGTAGACTGTGCATAAAGTTTACCGCAGCGTTAGCAGAAATCACCAAGTTCTGGTACTGATGGATGGATGGATGGGTCTGCAATGAGGTGTAGGTTATGGCCTTCTCTCGATCATTCATCCTCTAACCTTCAGAGATTTTGAAATGATCCTGATGGTTGTTGTAAGCAAGAGAGTATTCAGTGAGGCAACCGGATATTCTTGTGACTTTGCCAGTAACTTACTTATTGTGAAGGTATAAAGCTTTTACTTTCATTGCTAACAATTTGAGAAACCTTTAATGAAAATAAGTTATGTTTTCCACCACTGCTGCTTAGCAATACTATTTCTGACTTAAATATAGACTTTAATGTATTAGATTGCCTCCTTTCATGGGAATATAAATCTTTCACTGCAATATGGTCCTGGATGTCTTGCAGCTATCTCCTCTAACACATTTTCCCTCACACCATGTGTCAAGAGGTTTAATGTTTCATTAACTCCCACAGCATTATGGTCTATTTAAGTTACAGAGCTGCCGTATGTTTTGTGTACCGTTGGGGAGTTGATTGGAATAATTCACTCCTACGCTTTATTTAGAAATGACAGTAATAATGTACAAAAAAAAAAATGTTCATGCTGTATCTTCTCATCATTATTCGTGAAAGATTTTGAAAAATCAGGAACACTTCTTCATGATTTGGCTAACCTCTACCTAGCTAGATGAATTTAGAATTTAATAATTTGTGTACAGTCTGTGACATTTGGAATTAAGAAACAGCTCATGTCTCCCGTTATGCAGAAAAGAAACAACACCCAGTTGGGAGGATTTCATGAGCTTACTAAGCTTTTGGTGCAAATGTAGAGCTAAATGAACATGTGAATTTTAAAAGAAACATAGGAAACTGGAGCATGGTTCTGTGTGTAACGCTGCTTTGTTAGTACCGCAGTCATGGACCCTGCACAATTGGTGACAACCGTTATCTAATTTGTGTACCGTAAACTCTTCAGAGTGACATTGCCAGTGCCTCAGAAAGAGCTTTTAATTAGGATATAGTTCTGTGGTGTTTTCAGTAATAATTGCAAAGCTTGTATCAGACATATGGAAGAGTTCACTAGAACTTCTAACAGACTGTTAACTGACTAAATTAAGTCAAAAGATTTATTTTTTCCTGTTGCTTTCTACGTCATTGATCAGTGTCATTGTGATCAAACTTTTTCCAAGTTAAATTGCAATCTGTGTGTTTTATGTTTAGTGACTGTTCTCGAAAGGCTGAGATTCCAACACATTGATGAGACTCCTTAGTTCAGGCTGTAAGATGTACTTTTTTACATGGGGTTTTTTGTTGAATTTTTTTTTTAATGGACTCTGTATCACCCACCTCCATCTGTTTGTGTTTCTCACTACTCAGTCAGCAGAAGCCACTGCTGTGTTCTCCTCTGCTCATCTAGATATTAGACTTGGTATGAAGCTTCATGTACAGAATAGTATTTCATGTAAAAATTGCACTGGAACCGGGAAACATTTGTTAGAATCCAGCTACCGTTCGGGGTGATGGTGGATGAACGTGATGCACGTGTACAAAGGCAAGGTCACTTCTTCAAAGAACCTGTGGCACTCGGTGGTAGAAGCTACTCTTTCTGCAGTCAGGTCTGACATGCAGATTACCTTAACGGAGTCATTTCATCAAAACTTGATTACACTTGCAAAATATTATTTAACATATTTGCTAGCATACTGTGAAGTATGAGTGTAAATAATTAAAAGTAAACAACAGTTGTCCTTGCTTTTGTGCTGTTTACTTTGCAGAATAGGGAATTTTTCAAATTAACAGTCTTTGCATCGTTAGTGTGAATTAACGAGATTCTACTGTAGCTGAATTTTTGTCGCAATCCCTTCCTTAGGAATTGCAATTGGAGTAATAGCAGCTGCTTAAAACTCCTGGGTGTAGATTTCTTCCTTGTTAATGATCTGTTCACTAATGATTTATTATCTCTTGAGAGTTTAGTTTCCAATCTTGAGATTGTAATATGGAGAAAATAGAATTACCTTTCATTCTTGCTCTCCAGAGTTACCTTGTCATCCTCGAGCCATAAACATTCTCCCTTAGTGCAGCACGTTGTTCTTCCTCTCAGTTTTCAGTTGAAAAAGAAAACTGAGAGAAACAACAAGGCTTAATTTTATTCTCAGAGAGGGGCAGAATACATGTGTCTGGCGTTAGTACGTCTACATTTGCTCTAAATATCCTAGGTGTTTTCTCTGCTGAGAAAAATTACTACTTTTGTAATAAGTGCAAGCAAATACTCCTTTAAGTAGCTGCATTTTTTTTTTTTCCTTCTTCTGAAAAAGTGGCTGTGTGGTTGTTTTGGAGTGAAAAAAATCTTGGGAAATTAGTGGATCCTTGCTGAGAATGTAGCATATGAATCTAGATTTATTCTAATAATAATAGCAGTATCCTTTCTGTGAGCAAGACTGCAGGTAAACAATATTCTTTTCTTTGCACAAGTAATCACAGAATCACAGACTGGTTTGAGTGGGAAGGGACCTTAACGTCTACCGAGTCCCCCCCCTGCCAGGAGCAGGGACACCTTCCACTAGACCAGGTTGCTCCAAGCCTCATCCAGCCTGGCCTTGGACACTTCCAGGGATGGGGCATCCACAGCTTCTCTGGGCAACCTGTCCCAGTGCTTCACCACCCTCTCCAGGAAGAATTTCTTCCTGATGTCCAATCTCAATCTCCCCCTTTTAGTTTAAACCCGTGACCCCTCGTCCTGTCACTCCCTGGCCTTGGTAAAAAGTCCCCCCCAGCTTCCTTGTAGCCCCTTCAGGCACTGGAAGGCTGCAATAAGGTCTCCCCGGAGCCTTCTCTTCTCCAGGCTGAACACCCCCAACTCTCCCAGCCTGTCCCCATGGCAGAGGGGCTCCCGCCCTCGGAGCATCTCCGTGGCCTCCTCTGGACTCGCTCCAACCAGTCTATATCCTTCTGATGTTGGGGACCCCAGAGCTGGACGCAGCACTCCAGGTGGGGTCTCACAAGAGCAGAGCAGAGGGGGAGAACCCCTCCCTAGACAGTAAAGCAGCAGCTTGTGGTGACCCGGCTGTGTGTGCAGAAAGCTGACTCCATGAGTATCTGACATGTTCCTCCTCTGTTTGTCAGCTTGATACATTCCTTGTTGTTCAGAGATGGAACAGAATTTGCTGAATCCCTCCCCAAAGAAAACCAATTTTATCTAGAATACGGAGAGACCTGTTAGGACAATGTTCTGAAATGTGTGCTTGGAGCTTGGGCGTCTCTACTTCCCGTTCCCTTCTCCGAAATAGCTACCTGCCAGGTTGTTCCTGGGTTGTTAAGGTCTGAACTCTTGCAGTAAGGATGCTGGGGAGGGGAAAGGCTTTTAAGGCTGATTAAAATGAGGAACCATTGCTTAGGTATGTGACTGACTTCTGGTAGGAAAATAGGGAAACATCATTTGCCTCCTTTAATACTAGCCGGTTTTTAGTACCCGGAATAGATTCCAGAATCGTACTATTAGGCTTTGGAGGTGAGGAGTCCTGTTCAGCAGATTTGGATTTGTACTTCTTTCACGTGTCCTTCAGAACACAGGTGTATGCATAGTTGGGGACATGCAAGCTCAACAATTACATTGTAAGCTTATTATGTTCTTGTTTTAATTTAGGAAAATAAAGAAGCTGAATATGAAAAGCTGATTCTTGCTTTAAGAAAGGAACAAAGTATTTATTCCACACTAGTGAAGACCTTCAAAGAATCGGATAGGTAAGTACTTCTGTTTTGGTGGGCAGTCTAAACTCAAAGGGCAGGAGTAAACAAACCCTGCAGGTTAACTGGGGTGGTGATGAGTGTAGCAGTCCGTTGTTAGAAGGCATCAAATAGCTGTAGCAATCTCCTTCAAAGAGTTTTTTTTGTAAGTGAGTTTATATTATCTCAGTTACCAAAATGTTTCTGAAAGTATTCCTGTTTGGATGGGAATCTCACATGAGCCAGATTTCCATTTAGGTGCCAGAGTAAGCAACTATATTTCCAGGAGGTGTGTCCCCTGTGCTGGAATATAGGGGAAAAATCAAATCTCAGCACTTGTAGGTGCTGGATGATTTGCCATGGTTTACTCCTAAATTACAGGTAACTTATCTTCAGAATTCTCACAATGCCACTTCTATGATAATATAAACCACTAAGATTTTGGAGAAGGTTAAACAAAACAGAATAATTGAGGTGTGCATAGCATGCTTTCAGTGTAAAGCGTTCAGAAGGATGGTAGGAGCGAGTGTTGTTTAACCTTTCAAAATCGGAGAACACAACATTTTTTGACAGAAATCTGTGGCCTACTTTGTATCCTGTTACTGCCTGGCCGTTGAGGAGGAGACGTTATGGTAAAATAAAGAAAATTCTTAGCCTTTAGGTAAAATAATCTAAATATTTTATAAAAAAATTACTGTTATAATTACAAATTTCTTAATTAGGTATTGGCAGCATTTGAGTGCTAGCTCCTGATGGTTCCTGCCTGAAGGCAATGGCTCATACCTGCCAACTTTGTGGGAATGTGTGTTTGTATTTTGCAGTTGGTTTATAGACCGCAATAGTTTGGAAACCATAAAGTGGGTAGCACTAGTGTAGACGAGATCTGGTATTTGAATTAAGGGCATTAATAGTAATGCTAGCTTGTGCTTGGCCACAGCCCAGAGGCTCTTTAGATACCAGAGTCTTTCCCATTAGAAATACTGACAGAAGTCAGATTCTGGGCGTTACTTCTTATCTCTGGGAAACGAGCAAAGGCCTTTGTGATGTTTCTGTTGAACGATCACCAAATGAAGGGAGATGCCAGTTTGACCTAATATTTCATATGGAGGGTGCGACTGCCATCGCAGCACCCTCTGTGGGTAAGGTGGTTGTCAATGCACCGGGTAGTACTGACAGCACAGTAACGCATCTCTGAGGCTATTTTTTCTCACAATATCTTTCAAACGAGGAAAATTATAACTGCAGTAATAGTCATTTGGGCAATAAGAGCTTTGCAATTAACTTCTGTGAGATCAGGATCGTTAGTTCCGTTTTCTTGATGCGGAGTTGCAGGGAGCACAGAGCAGGGCATATTGCTCAGCGATTTGCAGGGGATGCGCTGTGGTTCAACAATGGAGCTGGAAGTTGGAGGCAGGTCTTCTCGTCTCTCCTCCTCGTGGTTTTGTGGGCTGAGACGTGCTGTAAATCTCATCAGGGAAGGCTTGAACCCCCAAAGTGCTGGGGAGCTGATAAACAAGCCCTGCAAATAAGTCCCGCTTCCTCATCTGTGTAATTGCCATCAGCAGTGACATGGATTTTAGGCAAACATCTGTTTTCTTGCTGACGTATCTTCTTTTAGGCATTATTTATTTTAAGCAACCTGGATGGTTATTTTTCAAAATAAGCTACCGGATGTCAGGACCAAGACATTTCTTGTCTCTCCGAGCAGGGAATCAATGCTTCTTCTTATAAATTCTTTAACTCATGAAAAGGAGAAAATGTGCTTACTTAGCTTCCAGTAATGTGCCTGTTTGTTTTTATTCTTAATTTTTTGCTGAAGCTCTCTCTTCAAAGATACTCTTGAGCAAGGGAGGATTGGTTAAAGCCATAGTTTCTTGTGCAGGAAATACTGACAACAGCACACTTGTCAGAAGACAGACAGTCTTTTCATACTTGCTGTCTTGTAATTAATGCATTTCTGCAATATGCTGTTATTCTCAAGCAAGTATGATGTGTTGTATGTTCCTGTATAGTCTCCTGTAAGAAGAATTTAATTTTTTTTTAAAGATTCCTGAATTCTCTGGAATTTGGTGCAGTGGTTTGGAAATTCTGCGGGAGCTTAATTTGTCTTAAAACACTGAGGTTCTGAGTGAAGTGATGATGAAAAATAATATGAGTTCAGTAACACCTTGTTATTTATTTGTTGTTAAATCCATTTGATTTATTGTATTAGATTTTCAATTTTTAGTGTACTTAAGTCTTTTAATGGACTGATCAGAACTGCCTTGTTGATGTTGCTGAAGGGTATGGGGAAGATCTAGCCAGGGACAGCTGGAGGTGCTGATACTGAGGGACAGTGACTGATGCTGAAGTAAGAGCTTCAGTGGCCACCTTGGAAGAAAGCTGCTTAAAGAATTCATTCACGTTGACAGATTATCATTTGTAAGTTTTGGCATTTACACCCCATTGAGATAATCAAGACAATTTAGACATTAAAAGGTCTTTTTGCAGACTGTTGGGTAAATGAAGAAATAAAACAGTTAATTATGTCAGGGTCGTATTTTCAAAGAAACATGATTTTTAAATATTTTTTTTAAGTGGAGCATTAGAGTATATAGTGTAGTTCTATAGGAAGGGGACAAAGTTTCCATGGTCACCGTATAATGGAATACACAGAGCCATCAGTATTATGTGATAATGATGTTTTTCTGGCATACATTTCAGAAGTTAGTAATTTTGATTTTCCTTAAAAAGAATTACACAGAAGTTGGCTGGTAGAATATATCTGTCATGTTTTAGCTGACTTACAAGCAGAACAGCTCAAAACAGCAGGAAGAGGACATATATGTAAAGGTTTAGTCATCTTTCTATGAAGGGATTTGTTTATTCTTATGCATCAAAATGTGTAATGAAACCCAGCGATGGCTAAGGAGAAATGGCTCTGTGTGGATGCCTGGGTGTATAAGAGATGCTGAGGTGCACAGCAAAATGTTTTGAATTGAACCTTGAAGGTTTTCTTTTTCCTCCTTTTTTTTTTTTTAATTAGTATAAATAGCTTGCAGACGGAACTAAACAACATTTTCATGTTGCGAAAACAACTAGAAGAGGACATTTTAGCTAATCGGAATCTGCAGAAGGTCTTAGAAGATCAGATTAAGGACATTAAAACCCGACAAGGTCTGTATACCTGTGCAGCCATCCCTTTTCTTGATCTTGCACAAAAGAAAACTGGTTTTATTACAGTCAGTTTGCTGGGATGGAGACGAAACGTTTGAGAGTAAAAATGTGTGAAAAGCTTTTTTTGGCTTTCTATACTGAAAATTATTTAGGGGATTTGTAACAGATTGTCTTTGAGCAATCAGGGCATATACAGAGGGTTAGCTTTTCTCTTTCCATGCAGCAAATGTTAGTAATTCCAATACTGCAGTGATTGTTTAAAGCTGCCTACAATTTCGTACCCATAGAATTTACTGTTTTCTGCAAAAGTCAGAGACTCCTGGCTTTGAATAAATGTGTGGCCATGAGATCATTTTCTGACTGTGGGATGTAATTATTTCACAATACTTAGGTAAAGAGCTTGTGTCTCAGGGAATGGCTAGGCTCTTCCTAACAGAAGTGTTTTCAAAGACAGAAAAAAATAAAGTAGCAGAGGATTTGTTATTTTGTAATTCAGGAATAGGAGAGCTTTTAAATATAATTTATCTTCTAGATTTTGTATTGTGCTTCTCTGGAGGTGTTTTTAGTGTATACTTAGATATAGAAAAGAATAATGTAAGTGGGCATTGTTAAATATAGTTTACTGCATATGTACAGACATATCTGTTGTATTCCAGAGGGGATATATGAATAGCACTAAAGCCTGTTCACTTACCCCTTTAAACTTAGATTTTCAATTTTAGCATCACTCCCCTGACAGCTATGATAAGTGACAAAAGGTGAGCTTCTGCCATTGCGGAGTTTCCAAACTCAAAAGCCCAGAGATGATGAACAACCAGGGTAGGCTAAAGGGTGTAGTGGATACTTCTGGGTTCACAAGAGCAGTTGTGTAGAGGGTGAGGCTGCGTGCTAGGGATGAAGGCTCTGAAAATGAGTAACCATTTGTGAAGCTTTGGGTCCTTGCAGTAACCATGGGATCAGTGTCAGAGCTGGGAGTAGCATTTGGATGTCTCTTCTTTGTCCTAATTTTAATACGCTTTCTCCCTTTCTAATGAGATATATTTATAGAATTAACTGTCATCCATATTGTAAATGAAAAGGTGTTTATTGAAACATAACAAATTGTTCCTGCAGCTATAGAGGAAACGAAGAAGTAGCTATTTTCAATTCACTTAATGCAATCTTTTGACCCAAAACCAAAATAAATTCAATAACTTTCTCTAACCCAGCTTTTCACTCTGAGACCTTGAGTTTATGTTCATAATATAGTTAAATATAGTTAAGACAGAATAACTATTCATGCCTTACTTATCCTTCCTAGAAATTATTTCTAATTGTAATGCTAAATATGCAAATTACAGTTCAGAATTGCATTCACAACTCACGCTGATAACCACAGAAAATACAGCCACAGAAAATACAGCGTGTCTACGTGTCAGAAACACAAAGAATTAGGAGGACAAAATTTGTTCAATTAAACAGAAAGCTTATTTTGGGGGATGAAACATTTTAACTGGCCTCCCACAGGCTTAGTAGTAGGTTCTTATTTGAAAGTCCTGTCTTTGCATTTTATCCTGTGTTTTCCTGCAAATAGTTTCTCAAATAATTCCTCTTCTTGGTTATTTTGACAGACGAAACACTATCTTTCTGTGGAGATCAAACATCTTATATGAGTATCTGTTTAGGGGACCAGGATCATTTAAGCCTACAGATAGATCATCTGTCTCTTGAAGAACTTAAGAAAAAGGTGTTGATCTTTTTTATTATTTACTGTTTCTAATGGCTTAATTCTGCTTTGATTATAGTTTGTGCATCTCTCACAAAAAGGTTTATTTAGGTACAGTTGGGTAGCTCTGAAAGGATTTGAAGTTCTCATCTCTGGGGTTTGTGATCCCCCTTTTATGAACTGTTTAGTCTTTCTTGCAGCACGTGAGCTTCACACTTGGCTGATAGGTGGCTTCCTGCAAAGGTTTCACCGTAGTTAGATGCCTGGACTCGAGTTGCAGGCTCAAGACCACATTTTAGTCATCATGAAGTATACCAACTCCAAAGGAAAGTTTTTGCATTAAGTATCCTGCAATGTGTATTTCATGCAGCTTTATCAATGCTGAAGATGGTAGAAGTGTCTGTAATTTCTACTTCTGAATAGCACACTCCATCCCAGGATTTGCAGATCTTTCGGTTAATATGGCATGTTGTATAATAACCCTGAGGTAAGTTAAGGTCTCCATTCTACACAAGGGGAACTGAAATTCACAGAGGTTAAACATTGTGTCCCTGTCCCACTCTGGGGTTATATCACTTTTTTCTCAGATCATACTCCTTTTAGCGGATTCAGGGATACTCATTAGCAAAAGATATTTATAAACAATTCCTTAGCTGAAAAAGGGTTTATATGCCTGAAAACTGATCTGTTTTTTCCAAATATATTAATTGGTCTGATAAATAGATTTCACTTTGCAAAGATTGCCTTCTGGAGTCTGTGACAGTAATGTCTGCTCAAGAGTCTTGAACATGGTTGTCCATTCAGATTTTGTATCTGTGAAGATGGTGGTTTATAGAAGGTGTTTGAGATAGAAGAACAAGTTGTTTCTGGATGCTACTATTTCCCTGTAATGCTGGTTTCCCTCGCACTTCTCAAATCAACCTGTTGGTGTGAGGGGCCCTCAGGTTTCTTCTTGCTACAGCGCTGTGAGACTTGATACCTCAACTTAATAACATGCCTGGGAACTGCAGTCTGACAAGATGAGGTTTTTTGAACACTAACTCACAAATACATGATGATGTTGTTCATGCATGGTGAGATTGCCCCATGAGCAGATGTAGAAGCCCAGGCTTTCCAACTACATTTACATGTCTCTAGAGATTTATATATCCTCATTTGTTTTCATACTGGTATGGATGTTACTGGTTTTGCTTGTTCTTCCTTTGGTTATTTAGGTTTCTGACCTTCTCTTGGTGGTTAAGGAACTGCAGTCAGTTAATGAAGATCTTAAGAAAAAACAGCTTGGGCTTTGTACAACAGATTCACGAGGGAAGGAAGCATTAAAAACATTAGGCCACAGTGAGGTAGGTTTTCTGTGTTAAAGTAGTGTCTCACATCTGATATACCTTGTGGAGTCATTTACATCAGTGCGGAATGAGTGTAAAACCCTCGGGGCTTCGGTTACTAATTCCTTAGAATAACTTCTTAAATTAATGATGTAAACAACTTTAAGATGTTAGCACAACAGAGAATCTGCTCAATGCAAGTGTTCAGGGATGTGTCAAGTTGATTTTAAGGGAACAACTTCAACATTAAAATATTAATTAGGCCTGTGATATGTTTGTTTTGCCAGTTGAAAGGGGAGGAAATAGTTAATTTTACCAAGAAAACAATATCTTATGTAACTTCTTAGCTGTTGCTGTATGTCTGCCTGTCTGCTGTTCAAGAGTCATTCTCGCGCTGTGCCTAATTCTGTAAGAGCTTAGTTCTTATCTCCTCTGCATCTGCCAAACAGTGTTCACCGTGGCAAAGAAAAAACGAAAGAATAGCACTTCAGGTCACTTAAATGTATTCATACAGAGTAGAGAAGTGTATGAAGAAGTGGCCAGCATTGTGGTAGACTGCTGGGAGGTGCAAGGAAGTAATTGTTGGTGGCCGTTTCATTCTTCTGCTCACAGCTAGGACTGTTTTTAGCTGTGGGGAAGAAGAGGTTTTGGCAAAATATTTCCACTGAGGAGGATTTGGGGTGCTGTGTCCCCATGTGTCTTCCTGTGTGTGAGGGATGAAGGATGTTCAGGAAGCTCTAGTAGATCCTAATGAACCTTCTAGCTTGTTATACGGCATTACTTGCGGTGTGGGTGGTAGTTCTTTTCTTTATATCGTGTTGTGGTTTTTCCTTGCAGTTACAGTGCTCTTGTGTACCACATGTTGAATAGGAAGGTAAAAATATAAAAGGAATAATGGTGGTGCTAGTATTTTGTGTCTTGACTTTCCGAATTAAACTCAAAAGAACAAAAAACTAGTAGTTTGAATCGGTTATGTGTAGGGTTTGTCTCATTCTACAACCGGGACTGTGGTGTTGATGATTTTTCTGCAGGACTCTGGAAAAAGGGTCCTGTCTTTTACCGTGTGTGCTGCAGATGCACTGGGAGCACTCATCAGAAGTCATGAAATAGTCTTGCTTTTTCAGTTTCAAGACATACTCACGTTACCTTTAATTGAAATGTGTTTTAAATTATAAATTGACCTTTAGGGGTGCTATGGCTTTTGTTAAAATACTGAATTTACATGTTACTGTAATAGGTTTCCATGAAAAGCTTGTGGGCAATCTGTTGGGGAGCACCTGCGCTTTATCTGGATTAATATTTTTAGCAATTTGCCGTATCTTCCTGAAGAGGGTGCTGCACCCCCGCGGCTGCAGTCCTTGATGCCACAGGAATTCCTCTCTGGCGCTGAGATTATCATGACAGGATCCTCTGCACTCCTGCATTTGTCTCAGCATGAAAAGAACATTTAGGGCTACTTACTTAAGAAGCTGTCTGCATGAGATGTAGAATGACAAACAGTGAAACTTGTAAGAGACAAATAAACCTCAAAATTCTGGTAAAGAGGAAAGTAAAATACAGTATTTTAACCTGTGCCAGAGTGATAATAGTGCTATGAGAGTCAAAAATGAAAGGATCTCTAATTATAAGTTTTTAGTATAAAAGGTAGCATTTTAGCAGTCTTGACAAACCTGGGTTTCGGGTTGTGGATTGTGACAATTGTGTGTTTCGCATGTTAACAGCCGTTCTCCAAAAACACAAGTTCCTTTTTTTTGTGTGTATTTTGGGCTAGAATTTGTTGGCAGGTAGTGCCGCGATGACACTAACATATGTGGGATTTGGAGAGACGGAGGAAGGTACATCCTTCTCAGGTTCTTAAAATGAGCCCGTCTTTTCTTTTCCTTCACAATGCCGGAGCACAATCAGATGAATCTGCATGCTGGTGCCTCTGCAGGGCATCTCCCAGAGGTCTGACCACCCCTATTTCTTGGCTTCATGTTCGGGAGGGAGAGAGGAGGAGAGAAAAAGGTTGTTTTTGTACTGTCCTCTGAACATCTGCTTTCTCTGAGAGCAGCAGCCTCAGTGATTTCAGCCTTCAGGGCTCAGGGGATCTTTGCAAACCAACCATATCAGTGGTTCATTTAGGTAAAACATTCTCAAGGTTTTCAGTCTCCAAGGAAATACTTTAAACAGGCAGCTTATTCTTGCTAGACTTTTTTCCTGATTTTAAGACAGTTGTTTTCTTCTAATATTTTGTTGAACATTAGGTTGTATTCCTTGGAGCACAGAAAGTTTCTTTACAGCCTCTCAGACGCAGGACCGTAGGGCCAGGCTCAAACTGCGCTCATTTGTTGTAACGGTGGGCTATAACCTCTTGGTCTGAGGCCATAGTTTCCTTCTAAGTATCATCCCTCATTAAACCAAATACTGGCCTGGGAAAAGCGGGTACTAAAAAATGTTGTCATAAAAGGTAGTTGCATGGGGTGAGTAAGCTCCATGTGCAAATAAGTGTATTTTTAATATGCAAATAAGTGTATTTTTAATACACAAATATAGGGTTTGTCCTGAATCTACACATGGAAAGTTAAATCTTAAGAGTTTGTTTTTTTTTTTTTTTTTAATAATTGCTAATATTATTGGGCTTCTGGCATCCCATGATTACAGCATAAGGATCCTGCTATAACGCATCCCACAATCCTGTCTGTGTCTTCCTCCAGTCTGCAGATTGTCTTTGCTTCGTGTTGTCCTAGAAAACCAAGTCTGAGAGAAAATACCAGAATAATTAAAACATGACTTGGAAATTAGTTTTCAATCTAGATTTCTAATAGTAAAAGGCAAATATATTAATATGTTGCACCATCCGGGTTCTGCTTTTTAAAATTCATACTTAGAATTATTAGAGTTGCTTATACAGCTAGGGATTGGAAGATTAAAAGGCTTTTCCCATTTATGTCACATATATATATATATATGCATACATTCTATGCATACTCAATTAAAACTTAAAAACCCACACATGGATCCAATTCCCAGTGTTCTTAGGAAGCAAAAATAACGCTCCTTGCAGAATCCTGTTTGTGACTGGACTGACATGCTGTGAGCCAAGACTTCCCAGCACGTCGTACTGGGCAAGCAGGCTTCTCTCTCCGTGTCCTAAGTTTCAGCGCTGCGCTGTATTCATCGAAGCTATAAATATCACATCTCCGAACCCTAGACACCAGTTTCATTCCTTCCAGTCTGTCACCTGAGTCTCCGTGCCTCTAATCTCATTTTTCTGTAGCTGTGCTCAAGATTCTGCTTTTCTTGTCTGAAGGTAATTTTTTTAGCCCGAGTCACACCAAAACACAACTGTTATGCACAGCAGTGCTATGTTATTGCCACAAGTGCTTTAGGACTAAAATGTTAATTTGCAATGCAAGTGTGAATGCTGTGTCCTACGTGTGGTTTAAGCGTATTAGGCACAGCATTGTTGATACTGTCACTCTTGTACCTTTCTACTATTTATTGGGATTCTAGCTGCAAAGATATTAAATACCAATCTTTTTCTGTTGGACTGGGAAACGTTGCTATAGAACAGGGTGATATAAATGTCCAATCTAGTCTTGTCACAGGGAGGTGGTGAATGAAATTTGTTAACTGCAGGTCACTCATGATAGATCCCAAAGTGGGATGAAAGACTTGTACTCGGGTTGTTGTCTGACAGACTGCACCAAAATGTGGCTACTGAAGATAATAATTTCTTGTAAATATGAGTTTTTCTTACGGTCGGTATTGAACCGACATAGAATCACGGAATGGTTTGGGTTGGAAGGGACCTTAAAGACCATCTAGTTCCAACCCCCTGCCATGGGCAGGGACACCTTCCACTAGACCAGGTTGCTCCAAGCCTCATCCAGCCTGGCCTTGGACACTTCCAGGGATGGGGCATCCACAGCTTCTCTGGGCAACCTGTTCCAGTGCTTCACATAAGCAAGGATAAGTTGTGTCCTCACCTCCAGAGCAAACCGAGTAAAGGATGGGAGTTGTAAGTGAAGTGAAGACATTCCCATGTATAAATGAAGCTCCTGCAGTAGTGGTGTGTGCTGCTGTGGAGAGAAGAGCATCGTGTGCCCTTAGCCCTTGTTGCAGGTCCGTTGCTGCGCTCTAACATCTAGCACGCCGAGGGGATTCTGGTCTTGTGTCAGTTTTGTTGATGTCAGGAACTTGGGTTCTGCACCTAAAAAAGTGGAGTCTTCCTCCTCCTCTTACTGGTGATGGGAGGTAGATTGGGTTCTGTGGAAAATCGGGAGGAAAAGATGATTTGGCACCATTTGCTACAAATCGGCAAATTTAGGCAAGACAAAGCAGACTGTAACCCTCAGTGTTAGAGTAAATCTTTTTAGTGTCTAGCAAACCACACGTACTTTGTTTTAAAAGCATCTATTTCTTGGATGGTGGAGAAGAGCCTAAATAGTGTAGAAAATGAAAATAGATTCTGAAAATTGGAAAATAAACTAGGCACAATGAGAATATGACTGATGACACAGAGGTCCATTGTCAGAAGAGGTTAAGTCATTTTCATGGTTTTTGTAAATTCTGAGGAGAAAGAGTTAGTTTCACTGTATTTAATGTGAATAATTCCTGGTTTTTAGATTAATTTCCTTTGATCATGTTGAAGAAATCTAATTCAGTGTTTACTTTGTATTACAGGCTTTTTTTATTTTTCTTTTAAGACATGTCACTGACTTATTTATGCATGTTTCATATCACAGTATTTTTTTTTTTGTGCTACATTTTCACATCATTCCATACTTTGTGTAGTGTCTTGAAATAACAGAGGAGCCTGTGATGCAGACTGAAGATGGTGACAATGACGGGAAGATGCAGAACAGTCAGTCTTCCGAGAGGGTCAGTCAGGTAGGATTCTGCTCTGGGAACATTCTGTTAGAGTACTCTTTTCTCTGCATGCCTTTAAGACTTCTTGTTTTCTTAGAAATCAGTCTCTCTTGCAAACAAAGCATACTTTTCTTGGTATCCTATTTTACTTTCAACTGATTGTTATCCTAAAGAGTTTGAGAGCTTTCTCCTATAGTTTTGCGCTCCTAGGGTTTTGCAGTCAAGATAGTTTCCGTCCTGGTCCGTATTTGCTCTTGTTCATAATGTTCCTTAATGGGGATGACACAAAGTCCCCTGAAATTGTGTTTCTTTACATACACACACTCTGATCTTCAGCCCCCGTTGCAGTCAGGCCTGTAGTACAAATTGTATAAAACGGACTTGCTGCTATAATTGAGGAAAAAATACTGTAGATCCTTCTTCAGGGTTGAAATACTTCATGATTTGTTGATTACATTTTCGTACATAAAGGATTCTGCTGTCCTCTTATGCTGTCATTCAAAAGCGATGTAATATAAGGCATGGAGTCATACACTAATTTGAGTTGTAAATGACCTTAGAGGATCATAGTGTGCAATTAAAGCTGAACCTTTCTGATTTAAAAATTGTAACATGCTGAAATATGACACAAAGCGGGGCATTTTCGTTAGTAATGTTGAAGAATAATGGTGTTCTGTTATTTGAAATCTGTAATTTCTGTGATTCTCTGTTTACTAGGTATGCCTTCAAGTATCCTTGGATTTTCCTTGTGAGGTGAATAAGCAGGTGAGTGATGTATTGTAAATGTCCTCTTGGGTCTTAAACATCTCAATCTCTTGCTGCTGATGTCTGCTGATGGCAGCTGTGTCCAAATAGGCCCAGTCTGGATTCTCATGTAGCTGATAGAGCAGACTTCCATTGGTTTAACTGGGGGCTGAGTTACTGTAGACATTTCCTAGGACACGTCTACGGTGCTGCGTACAAAAAGTTGGGAGTTTGAAAATACACCAAGTTGCATCCTGTCGTGGCCACCAGGGCTTGCATCTGGAGACCCCAGGGCTTGCATGTGGAGACCCCAGGGCAGAACTTGTACTGTAAAGACAGATGAGTCAAAGGGGAACTCATAAAAAGATAGCTGCAATTTGCAGGCAACATTCTAGAAGTTTCATCTCTCTTCATAGCTAAAGACCTTCAGGAAAATGTACTTACTACTGACGAAACAACTGATCACTATGAATTAATCATACAAAATAGATGTTAATTAGTTTTTCTATTAATAAATAGTAAGTGAAATGTCTGTGGGTGCTTCTTAATGTAGATAAAGATCATCAGGAATTACAAAACCCGATTACAAGAAGATTACAGCCCTGAATTTAATAGAACATTACATACCTGTGCAGTAAGAAAATGTTTGCAATTTTTTAACAGATAGCTCCGTCGGGCTGTTCAGAGAGTTTCTGCAAAGACAGACGTTATAGGAGTCCAAATATGCCTCAGTTTGAACATGATACAACTGGCAACCACTTTGGCAGAATAGGAATGAGTGAACAGGAAACAGCAGAGAACTTGCTCACATCTCTCTTAAGAGAAAATAGAACATCTGTACTGGAATCTACGTAAGTATGAGGGATATGCACTGCTTTTGACAGTATTTCTATTTGAGAAGAGAATGAAGTAATTTTGCTAAAGTGAATTTAGATAATGGCACTGTCTAATTTACCTGAGAGATTGGCAAGGCGCCTTCAGAGCCATTTTAGTCTATCATGCAATTAAGTAATTAGGAAACATACTATCAGTAGAAATCCTTATGAAAAACCCATTACAAGAAAAAAAACTCTCCAAAGTTACTGATGTACAGAGCTTTCTTGTAAGGACTGATTATTTTCAGGAGGGGGTCTAGCAGTGTTAAAGGGCTCAGATGATAATAGGTGGTATTTTTTTTTTTTTTAAATAAAAATATCTGAGAGCACAGGCCAGTGGAAGGTGGTGTGTGGGGGGGCAACACTGTAAAAATTATATGTGTAAGGAACTGAGGAGGGAAGAATTGGAGTTAGAGTGGCTGTTTTACAGGGTTAATTTTGAATGGACATTACTGTACGTTTCATGGCCTTTGCCATTTCATCTGACCTGCTTGGACAGAGGTTTGCTGTCTGTCAGCAGCCCAGAGGGTTCTGAGCCCACGCACTGCAGTTGACTTCTTGGTTATTCCAGTGTAACCACTGGTAGGACCGTGCTGAGGTGAACCATGTTGTCAGTACTGAAGTCACGTTTCGTGCAGGAGCAACTACTTGTGTAAGTTAACCAGCAAAAGCTGCAGCGTAACTGATCTTTTTCAAATGTGTGTATCATGTTTCCCAGCTGAAATGCTCATTTCCATAGGAGCTGGACAATACCAACCAAGAAAAGGGTGTGTAAGAACCCCACACCCTGCCTAGTTTTGTTTCCCCCAGTTTCAAGCTTACACTGCTTAATCTCCTGGTTGAAAACTGGATTAGAGCTTTGCTGGAGATCATTCTCCTTCTCCTTTCCTAGTTCCCTCCACACTAACGACTATGGACAGCATTACGGGACATGTTTCAGTGCCCATCCGTGCTGCTCCTTCAGCTAGCCGCAGTGGTTTCGGGAGAGTAATGGGAATGACCTTCCATGCACGTGGTACTGAGCAATGCTGGTGGCAGAGTATCCTGTGGAATTAGACAAGTCAAATCCTGTTTTCTGTGTTCAGCATGCATTGCACTTGGCTTTAATAAAGCAATCCTGCTTTACTATTTACAAACATTACTATTTAAAACTCTCCAACAGGCATAAATGATCTTATTTGTCAAAGCACTAGTTAGTGGTAAATGAGGAGATGCTGCTCTCTTAGAAGATGAATACATAACACTGTTTTATTTGTTAACTTTACTTAAAAGTCTGCTAATGAGTGATTCCAGCACCATCATCTTTACCGCTATAGTGTGTAATCTTTTCTATATTCAAGTATAAATGACCAGATTGACTGGTGATGAGCCTGTACTTTGCATAACTTAATTCTCACTAATGACATTAGATGCCAGAGAAGGACATAAAAAGCCTAGTTAGCTTCTACCGTTTCAAATGCTAGCTATACGAATGCTGTCGTCGTAAATGCTGGTTTATATGTTTAGTGGCACAAAAAGCTCTCTGTTGGATGCATGAAATCATCTGTAGAATTTGAGGGCTTGCTTATGAGTTAAATGTCTCTTATTTGGCTTCAGTTTCACTTAAAACGTTGCTTTGCAAACTGTTGTCCATGGACCATGAGTGATCTGTGGGACAGTTTGGTGGTCTGTAGTGAGATGTTTTTTTCAGGTTTTTGGCTGTTTCTCAGTTTCCATATTTCCTACTACATTAGAAATACATGAAAGGATAGATTTTCAGTAAAAGGCAACACCTAGAGTCTCCTGTGGTTTTGCTGGAATTTCATTTTTAAGGTAGTTAAATCAGAGAGTAAACTCCTGAAAATCCATTCCTATTTCTTATATTGCTCTTACGTGAGCAATAGGTTTACTTATCAGAGGTTTAGTATCTGCACATGGGTGGGGAAAGGGACCGTGTATGGTCATAAATAGTCATGTATAGTCATAAACAGGAGAAATGGGAGCATATATAGTCATAAATAGGAGAAAAGCATCGATGAGATAATTTATGATATAACTTTGTCGTAAAAAGGTTTCAAAATCTCTGTTTGTCAGTAATTAATTAGTGAGTAAAACAAAATCTCCTGGGAATTTCAGATATGTCAAGAAATTGCGAAAGTGTTTCTTAGAAGATATTCTTCTTTGCTTAAATAAAAATAAAAATTCATGCCTTTTCTTTCCTCCTTCCTGAGTATAGCAGACAAGAACAAATGAAAATTGTAAATGAACTGAACACAACCGAGCAAGAATGTTCAACTGAAGATATACAGAAAAAGGATGAAAAAGATCTTAGGCAAATGATTATTCAACTAAAAGCTGAACTCAAACATTTCAAGCAGGTCAATAAATTCTTAAAGCAGCAAGTAGAATTGAAATCAACTTTTGATGGGAAAGAGAAGCTTTATCCAGATGCAATGCCACAGATTAATAAGGATATTGAGTTGTTGAAAGTGGAATTGAAAGATGCAGCTACGCAAACAATGACTTTAGAGAGTAATGTCATGAGATTCAAACATGAAGGCAAAAAAGAAGCCTCAGAAGAAAACCTAAAATATTCAAGATTAAATGCAGAAGGAGAACATCAGCAAGAAAATGTGTATAGGAAAGGTGAACAGCATGAAAGACGGGTTTGTACAAGGAGAATAAATGAAGTAAGTTTGTTTAAGATTCTCTTTTTGGTACTTAGGGAATAGATGTATAAAAGAGAAAATGGTGTTTCATTCCTAATATTAAATCTTGCTTTTGTGTAATTTTTTAAAATTAGAAAAAGAGATGTAAGCCAAATATATTTTAGATAATTGTTCTTAATGTTCAGAGCTTTTCATCACATACTTCAGTGTGCTTTAGAACATTAATTAATTGAATTTCAATCCTCACCGGGGCCAGATACTAGTAAATATTATAGCTTTTGGAAAAAGAGGAGGTTTATAACATAATGGCCTGATTCTGTAAAGCCTTATATCTCTGTTAGATGTTCCTAACGTGCAGCATTAGAGCATTCAGAACTGAGAGCTTATGGAGTCTGAATGGCAAGTGCGTTCTGGAAAATGGGAGGCTTGCATGATGTCTGAGAGCATGCTGCTGGGGTCAGTGGGCGGTTGCAACAAACTTGGATCTCCGTTTTATTTACATCTTATCATTGTGCCTTACTTCTAGAGAAGCGTAACCAGTAGTAGTACTCTCTCAAACTGGGGGGGCAGTTCTTCCTATCTGTTTGGAACCCAAGTGCCCAGAATCCGTTTTGTGAGTACAGACGTGATTTGCCTGTGCCAGTTACGTTTTCCGGCCTTTTGTATGCAGGCAGCCTGTGATCCCAAACAAAGAGGTGTCTGCTAAAGAGTTCATGTGTATTGTTTCAGCAGCAGCTGTAGAAATGAAGTTGAGGACTCTTTGAAGATCTTGGCTCTTGCAGAGCCAAGGAGAGCATTGCTTTTGATTTGGTGCACTGCTCATAGAGAATCTTCTAGCGCCTTCCGCAAAGAATGGTTTCCATGACTTTACTGATCCAGAGATACCTGTGAGCTAGCAATTGGGAACAGTTCATTTTTATTCTGGCTTGTTCTTGTTGGATGCATTTGTCTGAAGGAACGGGCTTGTAAACCAAGAGATGTTGACAAGACTTTGCTCTGTACAGGCATAAGCATCTCAGTGGAGTTTGGGATCTTAAGGAAAGATTTTGGCATGCATGGTTGTTCCATGGCAAACACCTTAGAAAATTCATGCCTGTCTTAGCAATATGTTATGATACCCCTTAAAAACCAACACCTAATTAACCTGCAAAACCCATGTCTCGTTTCATCAAGCCATTTACAGTTAATCAAAATCTATCAGAGTATCCTCAGGTGCACTCTTAGTCTTTTAAGCTTTCCTTATTGCCACTAAATTGTCAACCTTTATGTCCGGGGAGGAAAGAAGATGATAATGGGAATGCTCTTGGGCTGTTGCTAATGTTCTTAGTCTGTTTGGCATTTGGCCGTTCGTGTTTGGCAGCTTGACTGCTGCATTTTGGGATGCCTTGGCCTAGTCTGAGGCAGGAGTGGATGCGCTTTCTCAGCTGTTTGTGTTGGTGCAATCCCCTCGGCAGTTGGTCCAGGAACGCGTGAAGAGGTGAGGGCAGGTGGAAGTCAGGGAGAGTAAAGATGGGTAATAGAGGCAGAAGGGGGTTGAGGACCTGGCTGGTCAGTTAATGAAGGTCTTGTAATAATTTGCTTAAGAACACTTAATGTTTTCTTTGAGTTGCTGCTCTTAATTCTCAGGAATGAAGGACCTCTAACGGCAAGTATATTCCCTGTCTGCCCTCCACAGGGAATAACTAGTGTTCTTTCTGCAATTCACCTTTTTTCCAAGTCCCTGTTTTCACTGAGTTTCAGTATATTGGTTTGATTCATCGTTTTCGAGGTTTCTCTTGTTTAATCAGTCGCGACCGCAATGCAATCCTTGAGTAAGTTGCTTTAAAAGCTTTATTTTTTGGGCTAATACAGGCTATCTTTTGCTTCTGAATGGGTTTGATAAATAATTTCATGTACCCAGCTGAACTGGACTTTGGGTAATCTGGGTGACATACATGTCTGTACAACAGCCCCGAGAGAGTGGAAATTGTTCGACGTTATTAGTGTGGTTTAGTACAACTAGCAGGAAGTTCATCCCACCAGGATTTATTTTTCAGCCTCCAAATGATATTGTATTCATGTATGTACAAAAGGAATTGAGTATGTCATTAGGAAAATGGAACTTGCTTCTTATTATTTTAAATTGTGTAAAGACTATAATTGCTAAGAAATGAATGTGGAAAGGTATTTCAGAGTACACTGGGTGGTAAAAGAAATTATGGGACTTGTGACACTGCTGGAGCAAATGAACAGCAAAAAACTAAACTAAATCTAGCTGAACATGCCATTATTGATTTTTATTATTATTACACAAAATTCCATAACTCTCATCAACATATAGCATGTTTTATCTTTTTGGAGATAGCACTATTTTATGCACTGTGGTTTAAACAGGGGCACATTTCTTTTATGCAATCTTCAAAAGGTGAGAGGCTAAAATGTAGTGACTTGGGAAATTTTTCGCCCCCCCAGCTCCAGTGATGGAACATCTGTTACAGAAGGAAATGGGAATCCTGTGGAAGCAATGTATAGAGCATATGGGTGAAGAAGCTATTCTTGTTCATAAAAAATTTCTCTATGAAGGAATAAATTTCCTCTGTGGCTGATGAAAAGCAATTTTGATTTGCTCAAAGGTGTGAAAGAAGGCTGGTACAAAGTAGGGCCTGTTAGATGGAGGGAAAAGAAAGAAAGGAAAATACATGCAGGAATTTGTGAAAAATTACTCAGATCCCCCATTAAAAAAAAAAAAAAAATTAAGGGAAACAGTTACGGGGCTGTCAGATATTTATGATATAAATCAGGAGTGGGAAAAAGCATTTAGAGATGACAGTTTGGGTGGGAAACTATTTTCCTTAGGGCATACACGAGTTCAGGGTTAACGGCACAAGGACAGACTGGGTGGAGAG